GACGTCCCAAACAAATGATACAGTTTAAATCTTTCTACAAGTAGCTTCAGAGAACTGAGTAGAAAACTTTGCCATAAATGGTGTAGATGGTGAAGTACCACAAACAGACGATGTGTATGGAGATAATGATCAGCAGCAGCCACGGATATCAAGAAGTTGAACTCGCAACCCTGAAAAGTGAAACCAAATGAGCTCAAGAAAAGAAACAATGGAGAGGAGTACATATTTACACGAGGAAAAGTGAGAATGCAAACAATGTCAGTGCAAATGCAAATACTTTCTGCAGGACATTCAAAAATGATGACAGAGTTCATGTTTTCTCACCCTATTGGAAGTTATCATATGAAAGACAACGCGATCTTTTTAAACGTCGTGTAGATTCAACTAAGAAAAACAGACGTACGAAAAAAAGAATCAGCTTCAAGACATCGCAAGTTGTATAAGAACTATCTCCCATCTGAAGCTAATACAATGTATGCTACAAGTGTGAAAAGCTAGTTTCCCTATCAACATTAAGCATAGGTAAAAGACCGTATATTACACCATTACGAAAAGGTTACCTTCCCGTAGAGCAACACAGATACAACTCAATATTCAAAACTGAATTTGACCAAAATGTACCAAAAAAGTATAATTGTGCATTTTGTTTTCCATACCAAACATGTCCCAAAGAGGACAAATTGATAAGCGAACCGAAAATGGAAGATCACACACGTCCTAAAATGCACGCATGCACCATGGGGAAAGCTGACAAGACAAGTGTAAAAACAACAGTGGTATTTAAGTTGCAAATTTATATTTGCAGAAAAGCCCTCATTCCGCCCAAATCTAGTTTCTGACTTTTATTACATTAGAAAACTTGCTACTTATAACTTGTCTGTCTATGACTGCTTCATGTTGGATGAAGCAAAAGCCAGAAGAGGAAGTTGCGAGACTGCTTCCTGTCTGTACGAATACATAATTAAATATTTGGGACGGTTTACGAACTTTTCTACTATTCAGACAGTTGCACTGTCCAACAAAGAAACATTCCCTTTTTGACACGTGTTTGCTTTCGGTTGCAAATCTTCCGATGAGATGATTACACACAACCATCCCACATGGGAGGTGACTCAACAACAGAGAGGTACACAAAATATGTAGAATTGTATACTTCATTGGAGTTGATGGCTGCTGTTCGAAATGCAACATAACCATTACAAAGTGATCTAAGTTGATAGCAAGAGTGTGTATAACTTCAAATCTTTTAAAGCTGCCTCTGAAATGGTTTAAGCTGTTTCCTTAATTGAGTATCATAGTTTATAAATGGCTTAGTATATTCCCACGGATACAGCGTTTATGTTATTTCTTTGCTCATGGAAAACGTTGTTTGCGAAACCTTTGCAAGCTTTAGTTCCTTTCGTCAAATAAGCTTTACAATATTTGCAACTTGACAGAGAAGAGATGCAATTACAATTATGTATACAGATCCCTCTATATGGTTTGCAAACGGGAATGCAAAGCGGGGCGTATCTGTGCGCATGGGATATGTTATGATCATCAGCGGAAAGGCCGTAGGTGCCATCTACAAACTTGGCGTAGCTTAATGGATAGTATCAAAACGCAGTACGTTTGTGTATGTGGCACTTACAACCTTGCTTTTAGGGAACTTAAAGAAGAGCGCCAGAAGAAAAAGGTCAATAAAATATATAAAGATTAATAATTCCTCGGAAAAGAAAATAGAATGAGATACTTAGTCTTGAAATGAAATTCTTTCCTCATGACTCATCTTTTGCTGATATAGAAAAGTTCAAATCTTAATCTAAAATAATATGTGTTTAAATCAGTTTTTCTTGAGTATATTGGAAGTTTAGAAATTTACTGAGCTGCAGATACAACCTTTTAATTCTGCGTTGTCCAAATACTGGCACAAAATATCAAAGACACAAATACAGTATTTCTTAATGTGTATATTATTGCACATATATTAACACACTATATAGATTACTTTGTATAGATAAGTGTGTTGCAAAGGTAAGATATGTATTATTCAAAGGCATAGTTAAACTTCTGATTAAAATCAAATACGATTTGAAATGGTATGACCTTTGAAAACATTATTTAAGAAATTAAAATATGACGGATTATTGTAGAACCATATTAGTTTGGACAGTATAAGGTATGACTGTGCTGTGGTTTACGTTTGACATCCAGTGCCCATGGATATTACCAAAAGTTTTCAACGTCTACCACTTATTTCATTTAGGATTTCTTCACACATTGAAATGGACCTGACAACGCTGCGGAGATTAAGATACTGTTATAAGCGTGGCCAACGCACTCATTGTTGTGTCGGAGACATACTTTGTTGTTCAATCTATGGTTTACCTCGCAGACACCCTGTGTCATCAGACCGCCTCCGTGGTCTAGTGGTAGGGCGTCCACCCAGAGAGCGTAATGTCGGGGGTTCGATCCCCGGCCGCGTCATGCCAAAAGACGTTAAAAGATGGTACTTGTTGTTATCCTGCCTGGCGCTCGGCATTAGGGGGAATGAAACAAGGACTGGTCGGCTCGGAGTCTGTATACTGTGTCTGAGTCACACACGCACACACACACGCACACGCACACGCACACGCACACACACACACGTGCATGCACCAAGCTCCCAGTTTTTTGTTTTAAGAAACAAATCGCCACTTGAAGATGAAAAATTGCTGCCACACATCCTAGGGGTCAATGAGGTCAACCTGGTCTCGTGTCAACCACTTGGTTGCGCAGATATAATCAACTAGTCAATGGAGACTTGTAATATTGATTTATGTTGCAGTTAAGGGGTTTCTTTCGGCGTGGTCTCTTAACCTATAATCAAATAACCTCCCATGCTGGGTGTGGAGGTGTTACAGGGGAGCCTGGTAACCTGGATGTGTTTCACTGGGACTCGGGGGCTATCTCCACACACGTACGATGTTCGTATACTCCAAGTACTCAACTTCAAAGATGTTGTCTTATTTTAGTTGACCAATACGGCAATTTGGACCAGTAGGCAGCCGTCTGATTGTACAGCGGTGTATCCAGGAATTGCAAAAGGGTGGCGTTAGCAGGAGGGGGTAGGGATGGGTGTGCGTACACTGGGTGACACTGAGTGGATTGGGCGTGTGCACACTGTACGAGGCTGCTAATCCCCTTTTGGTATGCGGGATTCGGGGTCTATTGAGTATTCAGGACTCGGTAGTGTGGTGCGCTGGAGGCAAATCAAATCGCATGTTTCGCAGATTCAACATTTAAAAATTAATATATATATATAATGGTGCACGTAAATAGTTCCTTTAAAGTATTTTATTTTTTTCCATTTTTTTTCATTAATTTAACTTCAAATCGCATCCTTTGCTCGATGTTTTTGAGATGTTATGCTGTGTATTATTCGGGATTCAGGTGTGAGCAATGAGAATCAGTGTGTAAAATTAGATGGGGGTATTCGGAATTCGGGTAAGGATGAGGTTGGCACTCTCCTTTACCTTTGGCACGGAGTGAAGCAAAACACGATAAGGTGACATATGGTTTGTGTTTGAAAAGGACTTGTGGGGAGCCCGTGCATCCCCATCACTGTGGAACCGCCAGTGGTGGTATATCCTGGAATCTGGGAATTGTCCTCCAGTTCCAGAACATATATTTTCATGAAATTATTGGGTCTCTCTTGAACCGCTTGTACAGTGGTAGAGAATCGCCGCGAATAGCTGCAAGACTGATGAAGCGGCGTTACGCAATACCCACTCACTTACAGTTGTAGAGAGTTGGTAGCGAGGGAGTGAGCCAACTGTAGCTATCCGATACTTATAGCAATCTGGCCTGTTAAATGTTACTGGTGACATTTCGTTGTGTAGATTGAATGTGTAAATGAGAATTTGGGATATTACTGTATTAAATCGTATTCCTCTTCTTCTATCACATTTCCATGATGAAGTTCATATTCTTGAAGTATACTTGCACATATCCTTACTGACTATATCAACCTTTTAGTATTTCAAAAGAAAAGAAATGACTCAGATCGAGTGGTTGGCTTGATTGAGCCCGATGCATCTTTGCACCATGCCGACATACCTACAAACCTACAAGAGTTGTCTCCCATTTTCTTTTTAAAACGAACACGCAGGTGGTTTCCTCTTACTTGTCTTTCGTGCTGCAGTGTCTCCCTCGTAACCCGGACTGAGCTCCAAGTCTTTGCAAAGACAACAATTTATTTTTGGCCTAGTATTTCAGCTGAAAATGATAAAGTTACATATAGGTGTTGCATGATAATTAGTTTAATTAACTATGATGGGATGGGTTATAGCTAAAACGGAACCACAGCAAAACTATTTATTTCAGTAAGTAGGAAACAAATAGTAATTTTATAGATATTTCCTATATATCTCCCCGTTCTGCCGGCAGCCGACATCGCGAGAATGGATAACAGACCGTGTCCCCGCCCAAGGAAAACATATATACGACAACATAACATAATAAAGCATGTGAATAAAGCATATATACCACTACATAAATCGTTCTTATCGTTATTAAAAATAGAAGTGCCGTTTTCGCCTGCATCCGATCCGATCAAAACATCAAAAGCAAAATGTGATGATAATAATAATTGTCAGTGGAAAGGGGGCTATGGTAACTACATTCTAGAGCATAAATGTGCCACTTTGGCTCTAACCATTGCGTGCGTTCGTTTTACATTTTTGGAAATGAACAACGTTTTATCGTGAAATAAACTATGCTTCGTTCTTCATTGTTCCTTGCGATTTGTTGCGTAGCGGTCTCATTTTTCAAAATAGATGAAATCTGTACAAACGTGCAGTGATTTATGTTCATCTTAATGGTCCGAGTAGCCTACGAATTAGCAAATTTCTCAAATATCGCCACTTTCTTGGGGGGGGGGGGGGGGGGGGCTCCTTTTCTAGTTAAATATTTCTATACATTTCTGTTCAGTGATTGTCGGCAGGGGAGGTAAGAAATCTTCACCCGGAAGTTCATTAACCCACAATGCATCACTCTGCCACGTCTCCGGCCATGTTGGTTGTCCGACAACTAAAATACTAGCGACTGTCGGTAACTTTCTGTACCCCTACAAACATGGGTGGCTCTCTTAGTTCCGAGATCCCCGGTGGTGGCACCGAAGGATATCACGTCTTACGGGTATGTCTCTACAGAGAATGTAACCACTGTCTGTGAATGTTTACAGAATTGTTGTGTTTATTTTGATCGTCAACAAGTTCTGTGACTGATAAATGATAAACTTCAACATCTGTTTGCAGAGCCTCATCTGTATTGCACGGTCGAATAGTGTGATGCTTCAGGTTTCAACAGCAGACATTCATTTATTGGCCATTTATTTACTCCCAATTCATGGGCTACTTTAGATACAGTGAACAGAAGACATATTATTAACGTATGGTGTGATGAGCACACGTTGTAACAGGTCCGGCAAGCAGTATGAATAATCAAGGCCCAGCATACTCATGTTAGTGATTGTCGTTGTATTCCCGATATTTGCTTAACCTAGGTTTCATGTCATAGACAAAATAGTCTCAGCGGCTTCGTTTGTGTGGGTGTAAAATCTTATTTAGATCGTATTTCATAAACAGATCAATAGTGCAATGTTGGACACGTTGTTGCCTGAACCCGTTTTAACATGTACGTCAGTGATTATTGTGTTTTGTACAAGAAAATGGAGAAGTCATGGAAGGTCACTCTAGCTTGCTCACAATTTCATAATTATATTACTGCCACATATTATCCCTAAAAGGAGCGCTTACATTTTTCGCCTAACACTGTAGGGGTGCAGGCTAAAACATCACTGATTTCTTGGGCAAAAACAGAACCTCATTTAAAAAAAAACGGCTACTAATTGTCAGGCAATATTGGCACCTCTATTTTTAATAACAATAAGAACAATTAATGTAGTAGTATATGTATGCATTATTATTATATTATGTTGCAGTATATATATATATATATACCTTTTCGGTTATGTTACCTGCAGAAACATTCTTGTGATGTGTCAGCTGCTGGCAGGAAGGGGAAATAAATATGTTATATCCATAGAAATACTCTATATTTCATACTTACTATGATATATATTCAATATATGGAATGATATAGTATGCCTGTTGTCCAATTTCTTGACATTTCCGCCAAACTCAGTTTCAGCTTGACCATGTTGACATTGAGTTAAAGGTAATTAAAACTTCAAAGCATGTAATGTTTTCACAATAAGTTTAGTTGTGCCTCCCAATCAGAGTCAGTGAGTAAATTGGAGTAGAAGCTAGTTTCTAATATAAACTTGTTTTAACATTTCACAATTAATTTGTGTTTGCAAGTGACCATGTGAGTTATATTTCATGTATTTCAGTACCATGTAAAAAAAAATAATGTGCTGTTTTTGCTTTAGGTGAGGTGCCATTTTCGCCAATCGGTGCTGTTTTTGTCATGTTTGCTCGGTGATTTGTTTAGCTGAGGTGCTGTTTTAGCTTTAACCCCACTGTAGAATGAATCAAACTCCTTAGATAGTAGACTTACATTGAGACTCTGAAATGAACATATTTTACAGAAAAAACCCGTTAAAATATCTTAATAAGATACAATAAAATAGCAGCCCAAGAACCACAATGGAAACTCTCTTCATTTTCTGTACTGCCGTAATCTTGACTTGCCAAATGTTATAGACTTACATGGGCTGTATTGGATTTATTTGTTTCAGGATCTGTATGGCAGACTACTTAGATACTAACGTGAACAATTATGAGATAAATTGTAATGAATTAAGACACTATTATCATTAAAAAAGAAAGGGTTAAAGAGCTGTGAAAGTACGGGCAAGGTCTGGCACAGGATTTGTAAATTACTCAGTTGGACAACACTCTCCTGTTAAATTATCATCATTATCATGGTTATCATTTTTGGACATATGCATTTTTGGACATATCCCTAATCCCATGTTTGTTGTTTGTTGTTCAACGCGGCACTCAGCTATATGACGGAGGTCTGTAAATAATCACCAGATAATCCAGTGATTGACATCAGATAGATAGATTGTCTTTATTTCCTCCAGTACTGGAGATACATTATATAAGATACATTGTAGATACTTGAATTAGATTAAAACTAAACAAAGTAGTTACATGTCATGGTGAAGGGGGTATGAACAAGTGTTGCCACTTGTTAACGTAATGAGAGACTAGTAACATAGTTTCGCCCCATATCTCAAGCTCAAGGTCTTTCATGCAATCAGGCAGTCCACCTAAGAGGAAAGACATGATAACATCATCATCATTTGACCACATCATGAACATCGATCCACGCAATTGGAATGTGATGCATCAACCTACTCAGCGAGCCTAACTACCCAATCCCGTTAGTTGTCTTTTACAACAAGCATGGGTTGCCGAAGACCTATTCTACCCCGGATCTTCACGGGTCCCTAATCCCATGAGTGATTGTTGATGTTACATGTTTGCATCATTTAATGTGCCAGTGATGCAATCTCAACACAATACTGAATAACAACACACTTTTTGAAGACAGAATTGAATGAGGAATTTCTTTACCTTTCCAATATGATGTTTTGGTACAGACGCTAGTACCTGTTTTAAACTTGATGAAGGTACTAGCATCTGTTCTGAAATGTGACACTAAAAGAATGAGTCACAATCCCTTTTTCATGCGTCCTTGACCATTGTGAATTGTGACACACATCTTTAACCCTAGTCTGCAGTACACATTGTTATGCTCTGTACATGTAGCTGATGGTGAACATTATTATCATGGTTATATGTATCAACATGGATGAGACAATGAGGTAAATGCTGCACCATGTGGTATATGAATAGTCAAGTTGTATTTTGATGGTGTAATATAAATACATGGTTAGCATGGTTAGTAACTCGCTGACAAATGCTGAGTTTAGATATGTCAAAGGTATCTAGGGTAGAGCATTTAAGGATAAAAGTAACTAGCTAAGGTAATAATCTATTCTTTGCATTCTTTGCTCACAGTGACTACTGTGTTAGGGATTTTAGTGGTACAATCATGCTTGTAGGCTAGAGTAAGATCCTGGCTTGGCATAGAGTGAATATTTGATTTTAATAATAGAAATTTGTGTTGAGAATCATGATACAAACACTACCTTCTGTTACTTTTTTGTGATTATCTGTGTTGGTGTGATTAAACCCAAATGAATGGTCTGATATGTGCTGTCTGTTACTTTAAGCTCTCAGCCGATCTTAAGTTGCTGGGGGGGTGGGGGGGGGGGGGGTGTGTGTGTGAGTGTGGGTTTCCCCAAAGTGGTACACGTCTTAGACTTGCATCACTTGCTCTCCTCTCAAATAAAGCAGACATACCATGCTACTTACTCACTTATCTAAAGCCATAGTCTAGGTGGCCTTGTAAACTTTTGTTTTGTCTCGGTAAGATGAGTTAGCTCGTCATGTAATCAGTGGTAATAATCCATATATCATTATCAACAATGAAATGTACCTAAAATGAGAAACGTTTGGTCTAGTAATAGTAGTATGCTCCAAAGTTTTTGGCACAGATTTTGCACTAACCATCAGGGCTCGAAAAAATTCTTAAACCCAACTTTTCTTGCTGGGCAAGTATATATTATTTTGCACTTGTCCTGAAATATTTTCACTTGCCCTATTAAATTTTATACAGTTTTATTTTCTCAGCTATTATTGCAACTTTCTGTAATTAACCTTTGAGTTGAGGATATGTACGACAAATGGTACAAAATAATTCACAGTCACAGCAATCTACATCTCAACTCATGCAAAGTCACTCAGCTATGAACGTTGTATTTTCATAATTTACAGTCATACTGTTTCTTTTTAAAAAATTCGTTTTTTGACCCATTTGGTAATCAAATCATGTTTCTGTTTCTGTCCCCACCATTCCCAATTAAAAACAACCATTACCCTCACAAGATCATTCACTTCCGCTTTGGTTTTTGAGAATACTCAGCATGCTCAGTAACAAGTTGCTTTCAACAAAAATAAAAAAACATAATTCATAATTGCCTCCTCTTAAATATAGTTTCGAAACCTATTTTCACGTTTTTTGTTTCTTTCTTCAACAAACAGTTAATAATATGATGTCTATTTAGGGTATAGAGATATGTATTTTGTTATTATTACTTCTACAAACGTACGGGAAATGAAAATGTATTTTAGGTTCAAATTTTCCTGCATATTTTATTTAAAACGATTAGTGATAAATCATGTCAATTGATACGATTTAAATATATGTACTCGCCCGGTAGGACAAGTCTTTCTTCTCTTTTTTTCTTGTCCTGTACATGCTGCCGTCTCGCATCATGCTGCTTTGTGATAATTTTTCTCATCTTGCTAATAAACATGGCTGTGTGAGAATATGCCGGTTACAGTCCTAGCTACACCCACAAACATGGCAGAGAAGTGAATTACAAACACCCCTGACACGTGTACAGAGCATGGTTATTTCAAACCAGCCAGATTGTACTGGACCTGTTGATTAATTTTGTATTGCAGGAGTTATCATGATTATTGTAATGATTATTCTAGTTGAATGCCGTTTATCACTCTAGACAAGTGTAGTTTGTAGGTTAATTTCACACACATTGCATCACATTATACAGTGATGCACATCCTAGTGAACAGATGCAAAATTGCAGATGCTGTATCATGTGTATGGAAAGCAGTACACATTAGCTCACACCATGCATATGATTCACAGAACACACTGATTGATGGTTACTGAAATTCTGTTGTGTTCTGTTAACCTAACTCACTAATACTCAGGAATGTGAAATCTCTGCGGAAACGTGGAAAATCACTTTTTTTAAAACAGTAGTCCTCAGAAAAAAATAGTTTTCTATTCATGACACAATAATAATATTGTCGGATCATAGGTTTTTTGACATCATACGTTTTCTATCATTGACATCATTGATATATTAATCCTTGGTGAAACTGTTGTCCTAACTGCACGAAATTGCTTAAAATGCAATAAAATGTTTAAAAAAATTTGGGGCTGGGGGGCATTCCCCCAGACACCCTTAGAGTTTTCTTCTTGTTTTGGGGGGAAAACCTGCTCACATTCCTGGATATTACCACAAACATTCAACATTGCTGAACATCATGTACATTAAGTATGTTAGGAAATAACATTTGTTTCTTAAGCATGTTAAGTCTGTTTTTTCTATGAAGATTTGACAATGTTTAAAAAGGACAGCTCATTAAATGATAAGCATGATATCTGGACATGCTGGATGCATCTTAACCTGAAACATTTACTAGCATGAATGGTGAAAACGCCCCTGAAACATCTGAAATGGGGCCTCCGACAGGTCAAACAGCCTGTTATATTTACATTGTTTAGCGTCTACTGTTTTATGATTGATTGTCATGTCCACTTCTAGTTGTTGCTATTTTTCAGGTACAAGAGGGATCACCTGGTCACAAAGCCGGACTTGAAGCCTTCTTCGATTTCATTGTGGCAATAGGCAATTCTAGATTGGTAAGTATCATTATGTTTGGGGACAAACACATGTTAAACAGGCCGGTGTATTTGACTAATGCATGGCTTACTCCATTTGCATTTGAACAAATAAATATGCTCTATTTAATGTAGAACGACTTGAATATCCTATTTAATCATATTTACAATTTACATAAGAATCATAACTTGATTCATGCTATCCCCTCGAACCATTGCCGTAGCACTAGTGGCAGATCTGGGTAGTGGTGCTTGGGTGGGTTCTAGGGGTGGCCCCGTCCTGCCCCTCTTTTTTGTTTACATCTGATGACATTTTGTCACAATATGTTGATTTGGTTGTTAATGTAATTTAAATAATAGTTTATGCATATACATGTTTGGAATTATTTGGATGGACTCTTCACCACCCACCCACACACCCCAATATTTATTAATAGCCCAAGTGCCATTCCCTTCCCAGCCCCCCCCCCCCCCCCCCATTTATTTATAATCCTGGATCCAACCTTTTAGCGAACACTATTTTCATGTGTGTATGTGGAAAATGTCATTCTATCATATTGCTCGGCATCACAGGTATAAGAATGATATTCTGAAGTGTTATATTATCATCATTTCATCGACATGATCAAGATGTCATCATCCCTTCCAGAACCAAGATAATGATACTCTAAAGGAATTACTAAAGACCAACGTAGAGAAGCCAGTGAAGATGACTGTGTACAGCAGCAAGACCCAGGGGGTGAGGGAGGTGACCATCGTCCCCAGCCACAACTGGGGAGGCCAGGGACTCCTTGGGGTCAGCATCAGGTGAGGCAGTACAGCACAACCATATCTTGTAACAGTGATTTAAGGTGGGGTGTTTACTTTCCATACTAAACACATGTGACATTTGGTAGGAATATTTTCAGTAGCATGCTGACATATATATGCAACGGAATGAGTGAATGTTGTTTAACGTCATGGTCGGCAATATTCCAGCTGTATCACGGTGGTGAAGTGATCAAGTCTGAGCCATGCAAGCCAATGACAGAAAGCGCAAATTCAGGGTCTGGCATATGACATGTTTAGCATGTTTAGTTGTTTTGTTATGACAAGTAGGATAAACTGGGGACCTGGTCTGATCCGTTCTCCCCCCAGAGGGTATGCAACATGTAGATTATTATGACATGATGAGCTATGTTCAAAGGATATTTTAATTTGACAAGGACGTAGAACTTTTAACTAGCAGGTGTTGGGCAGAGTTGGTACCTATGTATATTGTCAGAGGCCACTGACTAGGCAAATTGTGTGTGATCATGCTCAGATAGTGAGATCGTCAGTCATGCAGCCAACCACTGATTTGCCTGAAACCGTCTTGATTGTGTACATGCTGGCATGGTGTAGCCGGAATGTTGCAGACAGAGGCACAAAACAACGTTCACACATATATTGTGTGTCTCTAGATATATTATGAGGGTTATGATTGCTTTGTCAAAATGTTCAATACATATAATACAGCAACACTATTGATCACTCTGGTTGCAATTATATCAGTTACCGTGTGGTTACTTCTATCACCAGTATTGATGATCTCTGTAATTATTTTGCTTATGTTGAAATGAAGCACATGGCAACACCTGGTGTGTTAAGTGTTAGTCATCAGGGTTCCTGGAATACTGGAGTGTTTGTGTTGTAGTAGTGTAATCTACAGACCCCTAAGTGTCTCATTTTTAACTTTTTGATCAAGCATATGCCCTTCACATTCTTGCTTAATTTTTGTGTTTATTGAATCAGCAGGGTCAGGAATAAGTCTTCTATGTTCATCATAATCAGCTATTGTTGTTGACACTGGTACCGTATATTATGCTGATGCAAAGTTTTTTTTTCAGGTTTTGTTCATTTGAAGGAGCTAACGAGAATGTATGGCATATCTTGGTAAGTTGTGAGTTGTCTCCCTTGTATATGTGGTATAGGCATACAGACTGTCAAATTCAGTCATTGTCTATTTGTCATATTTAGCATTTAGATTGGAAAAAAACAATTACAGATGGGTTTGTGGTCCAACATTTGTTTGGTGAAAAACGTTACCCCAGCATTGTTAGTAGTGTTTCTTCAGTTGAAGCTTGTGATATGTGCATAGTCAGTCACAGGTCAACAGTCTGGTCAAATGTTCAGTGTTGAAGCACCAACCAATTTTAACAAGAAAAAACATCTGCTTTTTATGCTTAATGGCCATTACCTCTCTGTAGTACAGATGCATATGGTCATGATGGTATTGGTTTGAGATTTTATATATATCTTATTATTCAAAATTATTTATTTTATGTTGACTTTAAATTCTTTTAAGTGCCAAAATGTGATCCTACAGAAATAAATAAGTTATTTCAACCTCAAATTTATCAACAGATTAATATAAAAAAATAGTTAAATATTGATATTCTGGTACACGTATGGTTCAGTATTGGCTGCCAATGGCAGTAAATTAAGTGAAGTTAGAGAAGAGACAAGGTTTTCATGGTGTCATAAGCAAAATGTCATTGTCACATATGATATTACAGTCACTGACAAATGTTGTTTAGTGTTCTTGTGGAACTTATTCACTGTCTACAGGAAGTGCAACCCAACTCACCTGCTGATCTGGCTGGGCTTAAATCAAACACTGATTACGTCATCGGGGCAGACTCGGTCTTACATGAGGTGAGACAGTTATCACGGTTATTGTTTTGTAATACAAATAAGTTACATTTTGAATATATCCATTTGACAAAGATTATGAACATGATGGAGTGATACTTTTTTAAAATCTGATATGTTTGATTGTGTGTTATGGCAGCCAGTTGGTGTGAAGTGTTGGTCATGCCACTGGAGTTATGGTCGTGCCACTGGTTTGCCTGTCCCTAGCTGGACATTGCATGACATGCTGCAGAGTGAAACAGCATTCCTCACTCAGTCCAACAGGAAGAGTTTACTTGAGTTGCTAGAATGTTCACATTGTAACATGACATGACAGCCTTGACATAGTGGCAAAGGTATGACTTATGTAATTATTAAGAGAGCCTAGCCATTTTCACACAGCTATTTTGAAATGAAAATCTAACACCTATACCTGGATACAAGGGGTGGCTGAAAAGTCCTGAGCCTAATTACGAAGATCGTAGAGTACACCCTAAACAATACTCACCATGTTTACAGGCTGCATTTGAACCAAATACACAACCAGGCAGCATATTTCTGCAGGCAGATTAGGTATTCTCTATTAATGAAAATGGACAGAAATGGCTTTCACACTGTCATCATCATGATCATATATCACACGGCCATCCCTGGAGACATTGTATGGACTGTAGGGGATGATGCTCCTACCTTTGTCACTGTTAAGGGGTGGGTAGCGGAGTGAACCTTGATGATTCAAGATCAGGAAGACTTTCAACTGCCACCACTAAGGAAATGTTGATAAAATACATCATATAATTATGGATGATTCTTGACTCACCACTCGTCTCATAGCCAATTCAGTAGGCATCTCTCATGGAAGCAGTGTTCGAAATAAGCGCCTGCCTGTAGTCCCATGGCAGGTAGATATCATGTGGGGCCTGTAGTTTCAAATTTGTAGGGATTCTTTTAGCCTGCACATAAGTGTCAATTTATTGGTCACAGTATGCTGCAATGTTTTTAATGGCAAATATGTACAAACGGTTCCTCAACGTATTTCGCAAACTTGCACTTTTTACTTCTATAGCTAGCGCAGTCACTTCATGTCAATATATCATATAACTAATCTATGCGACAAGCTCCTCTCTGTGTCGCCCGATCAGGGCGCATTTAGATCTTATTCGAAGGGGCCTTTTGTCATTGGCTGTCAAAATGTCCACCATTTCACACTCAAAACTCATGTTACGTTTCGAGTAGTACAAATGTTCAGGTATTCCATTTCTATCCTTTTTTTAAATTTAGTGCAGTTTAGGTTCCATTAAAATTTTACTCAAATATTGCGGACCTGAAGAGTTTTGTCAGGGCCTGCAGCTTCTAAAGTTTGTGAGTCTTGATGGCAGTCTGGCATTTTTTTGTATTTCAAACACTGCATGAGAGGGTTGAGAACATATAGGAATGAACTGAGCCTGATAAAGGTTTCAGTACGCTGGGTTCCAAGACTTATGTGCCCTCATCAGAAACGCTCCAGGTTCATTATCTCTCATGAGAATTTTTGGACACAACCAAGAGGAAATATTTTACACCAGTAGGACCCACGCACTCGTGCATTGTTGGCAGAAATATGTTGACCTCAGGGGAATATGTTGAAAATTAATTAGCAACCAACTCCATCAACAGTCCATCACAGTTTGACTCCTAAGGTTTTCAGCCACCTCTGGTTGTGTTTGGTGCTTGAGTTTTGTATGATTTTTCCATGTCTTCCAAATAACCAGTAGCTTGTTTTGAATCTTCACTATGATAATACATGGAACCTGTTTGTTGTTTTTTCAGTCGGAAGACTTATTCACATTAATAGAATCCCATGAAGCCAAACCCCTGAAGTTGTATGTGTATAACATAGACACGGACTCGTGTAGAGAAGTCACAATCACACCTAATGGAGCCTGGGGAGGGGAGGGGAGGTAAGTCAAGTCAACTTATCTTGTTGCAAAAACTGTGAGGACTTGTCTGTCTTTGACTTTGTTCATAATATCAACTACTGGTTTGTCAGGTCAAGACTCGATTATGTACTGACATCCATCATTTGCTTGAAACATTGGCGAGTGTGGGGATAAATAACAGACTAAAGTCAATATCAAAGATATGTCAGGGCTTCAAGATAAAGGCTGTATCAGCGTATGTACAGATGAAAATATGCACTATATAATAATGCAGTGGGGGATAATTTAGAAAACTTATGCATCACAGCATACATGATCGGTCTAACATTTCTTTGTTGACATATTTCCCCAAAATTACATTCTGATTTAAGCAGCCTATTTTCTGGAGTATAGTGCACACTTTTTAAAAACAACAACATCTGTATAAAGGTGGTGTGCATAATACATGCCATAAAATGAGTTTGGATGGTTCCTCCACGTAACACCGGAAATACCATGTCAACAAATCTGTACTGAAGTATGGAAATTATTCATGTAATTACACCAACTGCTTACAAAAAGTGTTAATTGTATATCTGGACTGTTTGTAACCTTCTTTTTTTTCAAAATTTCATTCAGTATTGTTTACATTAATTTCTATGTAATTGTACATAAAGAGAACGGTAGATCCTATATTAAAATAATTAGGAGTACACACTCCCGATGCTGAAAAAAATACCTGGAGCCCTGATATGTCCTGTTAGTTTTTACACAGATCTTGAAATTGAAGCATATTTGTGTCTTATCAATCCAGCCTTGGCTGCAACATTGGGTATGGCTACCTACACAGAATCCCGAAGCGCCAGTTTCCCTCAGGGCCCAACCAGCCAGGAGCAGAGGGAGTTCTTCCCGGCCAGGGTGCTTCAGGAGCAGCACCAGCTAAGTCTCCCGATGGGTTCTCGGAGGTGAGTTCCCGCCGTCATAACATTGTCCATACATTTGACCTGGCTGACCACAGGAGGTTGTAACTCTACGTATGATTTCAGTTGTCATGACCATTGGATCCTACAGCTACACTTGTGTTGTTGCAGGTCTCTCTGAGCACGTCACCAGGTGGACTGCCAGCAGGCATGGCCAATATCTCATTAAACACAGGTAGGAAATGGACACACTTTTTATTATGATAATGATTGTGACATGAACTTGAAATGACATACTTGTATCTCAGCATACAATGTGTGAAAATTTGTACACAATGAACTAAAAGACCTGAAGACAATATAGTCTACTGAAGTTGAGTATGAGCATGTGCTTTGACAGTTGTAGGGCCCAGCTTAGTATATGCCTTCAAAGCATAGATAACCTTTGTTTGATGTTGCAGGTTCCCCAACCATCCCAGTCATGCCTCCTGGGGGCCTCCCTGCAGGGGCCTCACCGCCCGGGGGAGCTTTCCCCTCACAGCCCCCTCTCCCTCTACCAAACTTTACATCTGCTACAGGTGAGTCCGTCACAATAACACCATGTCTCTCTGTACGCTCAGGGGTATGAGAAGCCGGGGAGTCTCAGGTGCTGTGTCCCTTATCCATGAAGTCCAGATTTGCCATGGTTATGACTTTGCTTGGTCAGCTTGTGGCTTTTCCAAAGTGCAGTTTGTCTGAGTCTGACTTGTGTTACTTTCCCACAGATCTCGCTGTGTAAGTGGAATTTTGTTAAAGCAGCATTAATCCCAACTCACCCTGCTGATCGTGTGTAGCCTCATGCTATCGACCACTGATCCAGTAAACATACGTTCCACCATGATTATGAATGTAACAGTATATCAACCTCTCGGAACTATTGCAATTGTTTGCCTTACGATAATGCTATATTTATACTGAAACGCAAAAGAAATGTCAGCATGGATAGATATATGAGAAACCTTATTTGTCCAAAGTCTGTAAACATAATTGGGACATGCTAAAAAGATAGATCTTGGCAAAACTGATCATCAAGGTTGAAATTAACAACACTAGTCTCTGAGAAAATGGCACCACAAGTCAGTATATCGTGTGCCCGCCATGTGCATTGATGAATGCCGTGCAACATTGATACATGGAATGGATCAAGCGGTTGATGAAGGCCATAGGCACGTGAGCCCACACTCTGAGGAACGCCTGACGCACTTCAGCTGCCTTGGTCGGACGTCATTTAGCTGTCTTTGAATCTCGTCCCACAGGTGCTCAATAGGATATAAATCAGGACTGATAGCAGGCCACTGCATGGTTCTGATGCCATTCTGCTGGAGGAAGTCTCTTGTTGGTCTGGCAGTGTGGGCACAGGCGTTATCATGCTGAAACTCGTGGTTGTGGCGACATACCAAATGAGATATGGCGTGTGGTCTGAAGACTTGATCAATGTACTGAGCTGCTGTGACACCATTGCCTCTCCCAGGACCGATGTTCTGGAACACCACAGGGATGACCCTCTGTGCAAGACCAATTCCACCCCACACCATGATGCTTGGACCACACCCACGAGTCTCTCTCAACCACACAAGCATCTGAATAACGTTCCCCACGGCGTCGCCAGACTCTCTCTCTGCCATCTGCTGTTGAGATACAGTAACGGCTCTCGTCTGAGAAGAGGACTCTTCTCCACTGCTGGTGGCGCAAATGCTGGTGCTGTGTTGCCCACTGGAGACGGTCCTAGCAATGACGTGGTGTCAGAATGGGTCCTCGGTGTGGCCTGTGACAGTGGAGTTGTCTGCTCGTCAATTGTCAACGCACAGTGTCCGCACTAATGTGCTGCTGGTGTGTCCCCATGGTCTGTTGAGCAGTTTCTGCAGCAGTAACAAAGCGATCTTGAAGATGTTGTCGCACAATCTGACGATTCTGACGTCGGGTAGTGGCCCTTGGTCTTCCACTATGTGGTCGGTCATCTGTAATGTTGGTGGTCTGGTACCGTTGCTGGAGCCTGTATATCGTCCTTGAAATGCATTGGCTACTTGCCGGGCAGATGTCCAGCTTGCAATCATCCAAGGGCTTGGTGTCGCTGAATTCTTGTCAATCTTGGCATGTGGTAGCAATTCAATAACGAATGAATGTTATCCGATCCAGGCGGATTTTTATAGAGCATTGATTGATCATTATCATTATCAAGCCTTAAAGTTGGTTTGCTACTATCACAATACTATTGCAGTCGTGTGGGCTATAGAGAAAGTAGCCCTAATAGTCACCCCGACCATGTCTTACTAGGGGTAATTCTGTTGGCAACAGGATGAAACATATGTTCTGTGCAGACATCAAAACAGCTGTAAATGTTTCTATACATTGAGCCTATGTACTTGCCCATGAATAGTGTAAGACTTGAGCATCTTATAGTGGGGGAGGGGGAGAGGGAGGGGGGCATGAGTGGTAGGGTTAGATATCAGGTTGATAATTGGAGAAGGCCTACTTGTTTCCTCTACCAAGTCCTCTCCATCATTACATAATGAACTCATGTTGTGTATGAGAGGTGGCACATTAGCCTGGGCAGGGTGTACTGGTCACGGGTTCAAATAGCCTCTTTTACCTGATTATCATGAAAATAGTGATTTCACTAAATGTCTTGGACCTGCAATTGCGTGTCCACATTGAACTGACATATAGTAAAAGTAAAATACTGATCAAAGCAGTGTTGATCATATCAATATGAACTCATTTATGTACTGAATTACTCCTGGATATATACCAAAAATGAACTCCAAATTGGGAGCTTTATATCATGTGCAGTCCCATCTCTGGCGACATCACATAATTACTAATATTTTCTTGCAGGTTTACCCACTGGGATGCCCAACCCTGCAGGTTTACCAACATTGTCATCAATGCCACCTTTAACATCGACAATATCTTTACCAGGCATGCCCCCTGTCTCATTGCCGCCCTTGTCATCAATGACTTCTCCGGGAATGCCTATGACAGGTAGGTGGTAGTGTTTATACTTTGAACTATTCTGTACGTCATGAAGATGGCAGGCAACACTTATGAGTCACCTCTCTGACTGGCTTGTTGGGTTTTAAAAATATTTCAAACACTGCCTCATTGGTATATCTTGGGAAGCTGATTGTTGCTCCTGTGATGATAAAACTATGATGAAAACAATCAAATGTCTCGCCATCAGTTATGGACATATATGAACATGTTGAACAATTGTTTCCATTCTCCCTCTCCAACAGGCCTGCCCCATGTTCCAGTGTCGCTGCCAGCTCCTGTTCCTATGCCCAACCTTGGACCTCTTCCCAACCTCGGCCTGACCCCAGTCAGCTCTGTGATGACCCTGCCACCACCGGTGGTGAACGGCAGCACCGAGCAGCCTGCCGCAGATGACGGACAAATACAGGCTCCAGTTGCCAAGGTCGCAGACTCACCTGTCACACCACCAGAGGGAGCTGTGGCCTCATCATAATGGAGAGAACAATTCTAATTCGGGAAAGGGTTTCTTGCGACAAACTATTGTTTTACGTGATCGAGATTTGGTGTACATATATGTACAAAGTCATTTCAGTAGGCCATGGGCTGGTGTATTCCACAACCTGAAGTGACTTTCATCTCGACTGGCATGGACGACAAAGTGTTGATGGAGTGCTGAAACATACAAATTTGGCAAGAATGGAGGGGATGTTCTGTTGAATGGTCAGAGGAGCAGAACAGCCAAGCACGGATCTGTTGCTGTAACTGCAAGATCAAGCTGCACTAAGCCATACCCTACATAAACCTATGCCTCTGTAATTGATGTTAATATTACCATGGTTACTAGCTGTATTCTGTACATATATCTCATGTCCTCGTAGTGAAATGGAGAGAAGGGTGGCCCAATGTTTTCCAAGTTTGTTTTACTTTATACTTTATAAGGATCTACTGAAAATGTATCTTGCTGGGGTACTAGAAAGAAGAGTTGTGTCCCCTACATCTTTACCTTATGGTTATGAAAAGTTCAAGACTTATTTTGGACTTTTCCCATTGTACTTGTAAATACTTCTGTAAACAGAATTTGGGAATCTGTGTAAAAAGGTAGAAAAGATACCTTATCTATAACACGTTTTTCTGAACAAGAATTGTTCATATTGCTTTATGTGAGATAAGTTGCCATGGTTACTTACAAATATTGGCTGGTAATATTCAGCATGTTCATTGCATATCCTAATGTCAGTAATATTGGAACATGAAGTAATTTTATGGAGAAGTGCTTTTGGTCTGCTTATTTGCATTTCTGAAAACCTAGTGCTCAATATATGTAAGCTGGCAGTTTGACATTTCACTGTGATGAAATCCTGACCATTGAACATTTTTCTGTTGCAACATGTAAAATAATGTTGAACTATCTAATGATTTTTAAAACATCATTAGATATTTCAACAGTTTTTACCTAGTTGTTGAATTTTAATTTATGGCAGCAGAGTAAAATGAAGATTGAAAGTGTGATTTATGATTTTCTAGAGGATTTAATTTAAATGAGATAATGTACAAATTCTATTTTGTTACTGCAATGTTATATTTGTATTTACAAATACCACATGGTTGTCGGTATGCACATGTAGCATACGAGCAGAGTGCTTGTCAGTCGAATCTCCAAGAAAGTGGTAGAATATACAAACGTTGGTTACTGCAAGTCATCACCCAACTAGAAACCATATTTGTCCTGTTACACATATTATCAAGACTTAACATCTCATCGTCATCACAGCTTTACAACTGAATACTTCACATGGTAACAGTTTTCTGTTGATTCTTTCTAATGGATTTCTTTAAGAAGTAATAAAGAGTTGCCTCCCTTGTATGAGAAGCATTGGCCTTTACAAATAACTGGTTATTGTATGGAAGTGTGTATTGATAATCCTATATAGATGTCACTAATATAGTTGCCAGGCTGTATTGTTGGTTTATAGAATTAAAGGAGTTAATGACTTATCTCGAGATATATCGATATATGCTGGGGTAGATTTATTCTTTAAGATTCTGCTGCATGTCTCATTTGAATCATTCTTCCATGTTGCTAATTTTGGAAGCAAAGATATACAGATTAAGATATTATTGATTGGGCTGTAATGGTATTGGACGTATAACATAACTTATATTTACTATGAATGACAGTCATTGTGAAATTTTATCTTTCAAAGCAGTGAAAATGATTATCAACTTCTGCATGTGGTAAGGCAAACTGGGATATATGTAAGAATGAATGTTTAGAACAGTGATTAATTCACTTGTTCTTTGCTATTCTCCATCATTCTGTGAGAATGTTCCAGAAGGAATGTTGATTGTGCTACAAATTTTCATGTTTATGACAGTTTAAATACGTGGTAGTACAGGTTGATGTTATGATGTGGCAATATCTTTACAGACCATGTGTGTGAACAAATGTGGGACAGATATGGCATGGTTTTGTCTTTGAAAATAAATTAAGAATTGGTAGGTGAAGGGTTTTTCTTGTGTTTGAGTAATACTTAATCCGTGGCCCAGTGTCTATCTGGCGATTACATGAACACATTAATAGGTTTGGGCCATTTTTCGCTTATGGACAGACACTTGATACTTCAAGTTTGCAGATCAAATGTTCAAGCAATAAGCATGATAAAGTGGTAAGGATCCAGTAGGGTTTAACATTTACTAATGACAGTAACGGAAATTGGACAGACATTTAGTTATTAATGATGGAACAAAGATACAATTTGACCAAATCCCCACATTCCAACTATGGTCAGACAGATAGGAAGAGTAATGTGAGGCTCAAACGTTCAGTGCTAAAACTGGCCTGAGCTACACCTCACATGGTGTCCAGATGTGAAAAACAATGCAGTGTCTTGATGTACCTCTGTAAGCACCTCGGTGTTCGACCCGTGAAGATCCAGGGGAGAATAGGTCTTCAGCAACCCATGCTTGCCACAAAAAGAGACTGTGCTTGTCGTAAGGCTCACTGACTTGGTTGATCCAATTGCGAGGATCGATGTTCATGATGTCAATCACTGGATTGTCTGGTCCAGGCTTGATTATTTACAGACCACAGTCATGTAGCTGGAATATTGCTGAGTGCAATGTTAAACAACAAACAAACAAGCCTAGATATTCAGCCTGGCGCTTCATTCCACACACTGTCGGGATGTGAAAAACAGTGCAATGTGTTGATGTATCCTCAGTTAGCACCTTGATGTTCATCAGCAAGCAAAAGAGGCCAGTGTTAACATGTTCAGCATAAAAAATGTCCACACTGGTACCACACCAACAACACAACTGCTTTGGCACTGACCAAGATGAAAAACACTTATGTCACAGGAGAAGTATTTGTCAACTCGAAATGTCTTTTAACTGTCAGTTAGCAACCAGGACATTATACCTCAAAGCCTGAGATGTTGTATGGAGGCTAGATACATCTGTCTACATCTGCAAAACTCTGTTTTTTAAATAAAATATAATCCTAGTTTTTGCAAAAATGTATTTATGGTGGCAATTTCTTCTCGTTTCTTAGATAATATTTTGGGACAATGATTTTTTTCTTGGACAGCCCCCCAGGAATTGCCCCCCAGACGCATATGCTGGTCGTGATAGGTGGCTTAATCATGGATGTGAAATCTCCGCGGAAACGCGGAAAATCGCGTTTTTAAAAATAGTAGTCCTCGGAAAAAAACCATCTTCCGCGGAAAAAATTTATTAAAATTTAAAAAAATACCACTCCGAAAAATATGATCGAAAACCGGACAATTGGCGCGGATTGTCCTGTTTTCGATCGGAGCTTTCACAGCATAGGTTTTCGGACATCATACGTTTTCCGTCACGAATACTTGCACTATAACGTGGGGCATGGCGTCACACAGAAATTGTAAATACTCAGAGTCAGCTGATGGCTTGTTTTTAAGATAAAGTTGTCTTTTAGCCTGTAAGTGAATGAGATGTTTTACAGTTGTTCATGTGATAAGCAAGAAATTTATGAATGTTTCTTCAGCGTCCAAAACCCCATGTCATGGGGATATATATTGTATTAATGTCTTATGTTTGCAATGGAGTTTTGTTTTTTTCCATCAAAAGGTAAGTACAAGGTAAGTTTTTTTCAATATGCTTCAACATGGGGAAAGGGTCAGACATTGCACACTTGTGACAGTTGTCCTTGTGTCTGGGGGATGGGGGTTGAAGTTTATGGCAGTGTTGCTCCCAGACCTGGCGGGTAGCCAGGTGCGCGAAAGCTATGCCCGATTTTTTTAAAGTACTAATTTAACTTCGAAATTTTACTGCATCTGCCATCTTGTTTATTTTACTTATTGACTTTTGCCATTGACTTATTACATTTCTTGGTGTGAATGTTGTCCAAACTGCATGAAATTGCTTAAAATGCAATCAAATGTTTTAAAAATTTCTGGGGGGGCATACCCCCAGACCCTCCAAGACTTTTCCTCTTTTTTCGGCAAAACCTGCTCACATCCCTGTTAATGGATCGGGCGGTCAGGGTCATCGAACCACGACGGTTATTCTACCAACGGCCTGTAGATTATTTACAGGCCGCAGTCACATAGCCGGAATATTGCTGAGTGCGTCGTTAAACAACAAACACACATACAGTTGACATGAGCCTGTAACTGAAACTTAATGTTTATAGTTTGTGGGTTACACTTCTCCCAAACACTAATTGTTTTCAGTGTAGCTGTAATAGCTTATGACTAACATGTTACTGTTCAAAGAGCACGATAAGGGCAACACTGATGAATAGAGAACACATTTGGGGTGATACTTCACGGAAGCTAATTATCTGGGGGGTTTTCCTTGCCTAGGTCGATGTTACCGACTAAAATACCCCAAGAACTAACAAGCAACAAAAGGTCAAATGCAAATACAAATTGCTGGATGGAAATGTAAGGGCACAATTGGTATTTATGGTGCGTCTGACAGACCGGTATAGGAAAGTGGACTTGCACTATAGACAGGGGCTACAGACAGACCGGTATAGAAAAGTGGACTAGCACTATAGACAGGGGCAATAGACAGACCGGTATAGAAAAGTGGACTAGCACTATAGACAAGGGCTACAGACAGACCGGTATAGGAAAGTGGACTTGCACTATAGACAGGGGCAATAGACAGACCGGTATAGAAAAGTGGACTAGCACTATAGACAAGGGCTACAGACAGACCGGTATAGGAAAGTGGACTGGCACTATAGACAGGGGCTACAGACAGACCGGTATAGGAAAGTGGACTAGCACACTACAGACAGGGGCTACTGACAGACCGGTATAGGAAAGTGGACTGGCACTATAGACAGGGGCTACAGACAGACCGGTATAGAAAAGTGGACTGGCACTATAGACAGGGGCAATAGACAGACCGGTATAGAAAAGTGGACTAGCACTATAGACAAGGGCTACAGACAGACCGGTATAGGAAAGTGGACTGGCACTATAGACAGGGGCTACAGACAGACCGGTATAGGAAAGTGGACTGGCACTATAGACAGGGGCTACTGACAGACCGGTATAGGAAAGTGGACTGGCACTATAGACAGGGGCTACAGACAGACCGGTATAGGAAAGTGGACTAGCACACTATAGACAGAGGCAATAGACAGACCGGTATAGGAAATTGGACTAGCTCACTACAGACAAGGGCAACAGACAGACCGGTATAGGAAAATGGACTGGCACTACAGACGGGCTACAGACAGATCGGTATAAGAAAGTGGACTTGCACACTACAGACAGGGGCAATAGACAGATCGGTATAGGAAAGTGGACTTGCACACTACAGACAGGGGCAATAGACAGACCGGTATAGGAAAGTGGACTTGCACTATAGACAGGGGCTACAGACAGACCGGTATAGAAAAGTGGACTAGCACACTACAGACAGGGGCAATAGACAGACCGGTATAGAAAAGTGGACCAGCACACTATAGACAGGGGCTACAGACACACCGGTATAGAAAAGGGGACGAGCACACTATAGACAGGGGCTACAGACAGACCAGTATAGGAAAGTGGACTAGCACACTATAGACAGGGGCAATAGACAGACCAGTATAGAAAAGTGGACTAGCACACTACAGACAGGGGCAATAGACAGACCGGTATAGGAAAGTGGACTTGCACTATAGACAGGGGCTACAGACAGACCGGTATAGAAAAGTGGACTAGCACACTATAGACAGGGGCAATAGACAGACCGGTATAGGAAAGTGGACCAGCACACTATAGACAGGGGCTACAGACACACCGGTATAGAAAAGTGGACTAGCACACTACAGACAGGGGCAATAGACAGACCGGTATAGGAAAGTGGACTTGCACTATAGACAGGGGCTACAGACAGACCGGTATAGAAAAGTGGACTAGCACACTATAGACAGGGGCAATAGACAGACCGGTATAGGAAAGTGGACCAGCACACTATAGACAGGGGCTACAGACACACCGGTATAGAAAAGTGGACTAGCACACTATAGACAGGGGCTACAGACACACCGGTATAGAAAAGTGGACTAGCACACTACAGACAGAGGCAATAGACAGACCGGTATAGGAAAGTGGACTGGCACACTATAGACAGGGGCTACAGACACACCGGTATAGAAAAGTGGACTAGCACACTATAGACAGGGGCTACAGACACACCGGTATAGAAAAGTGGACTAGCACACTACAGACAGAGGCAATAGACAGACCGGTATAGAAAAGTGGACTAGCACACTTTAGACAGGGGCTACAGACAGACCGGTATAGAAAAGTGGACGAGCACACTACAGACAGGGGCAATAGACAGACCGGTATAGGAAAGTGGACATTTAGCACATTACAGATTTTGGCTACATGTAATAAAAAATATGGTTAAAAGCTATATATATATCTTTCTTAATCAGGTTACCTCCAATTACTATTTCGTAAACTTCATTTCATCGAACGTGAACTTTGAAGAAGGAATGCAGATTGAAAACGTAAACAGTTACGAGTTTTGGAAACCCAGATGGCCGTCCCCTTGAAACCACAGCTTACTCATACGGTAACCGAAGCGAGCCGACAACGAGATTGTTACGATTCTGGGACGAGCTGCAGATGATTCCATATTGCACAGATTGGTTCTGTGGTGTAGAAATGTATGTGTTAATGGTTGGCAGTATATACTTTACGTCTGGCAGTATATGCGTTCTTGGCTGGCAATATATGCGTTCATGACTGACAGTATATGCGTTCATGGCTGGCAATACAAGCATTTATGACTGACAGTGTATGCGTTTCTGACTGACAGTTTATGCGTTTATGGTTGGCAGTATATGCATCCATGGTTACAATACATGTATATGCGCTTGTGGTTGATAGTATATGCGCTTCTGGCTTGCAGTATATGCGTCTATGGTTGACAGTTTATGCGTTTGTGGTTTACAGTATATGCGCTTATGGTTGGTAGTATATGCGTTTATGACTGACAGTATATATATGCCTTTATGACTTGCGTATAATATGCATTTATGGTTGTAGTCTGTGTGCTTACGGTTGGTAGTATGTGCGCTGATGGTTGATAGAATGGGAATTTCCGATTAACAGTTTATACTAGTATACGTTTATGGTTGGCGGCATATACTTTCCTGCTAGCAGTATATGCATTTATGACTGCAGTATATGCATTGATGGTTGGTTGCCCATGCGTTTATGGTTGGCAGTGTATGCGCTTATTGTTTGTAGGATACGCCCTCATGGATGGCAGTTTATACGCTTGTGATGAGTAGTGAATGCGTTTATGGTTGGCAATATATGCGTTTATGGTCGGTAGTATATCGTTTGTGACTAACAGTATATGCATTTATGACTAATAGTGTTTGCGTTTTAGGTTGAAAACAAATGCGTTTATGATGGTTACAGTTTTTCAGTCTAATGTTAGTCGGCGTCCCTTCATGTACGCCAGGTACAGTTCCCATAATATCACGTAACAAGGACAACAACATAAACTAAATTCTGATCTTGCAACTTAATGGCAGTATCAATGTTGTTTTCTACTTGAAATCAGTTGTTCAGACGAAAGAATATGTTATTCACTATTTTCCTTTTGAACATATTGTAACGTTATTAAGTTCTTATAGATCGACAGGTGATGGCGTGGTACTCATCTACTAAAACAATTGTATTTCCCTGAGGCTCATTTGAACTACTATGAATGGGTTCGGGTATAATGTGTTTGAAACACGGGACAAAATACAATAGAATATCGAAAATATCAATATCAATATCAACGATTTCCCAAGGACATGATAAGTTGTCTTGGAGCTGGCGTCCTGTACGCATAACTGAACAAACATGTGTCCAGTGGTCGATAGCGGCTGAATCGGTCAATGGCAAAGCCAACATTCGCGCTACCATGACTACAATAGCGTGAGATGAAAACTGAACAAATACCATTGCCATTTTACAAAATATGGTTCAGTCAATGTCGAGTGAGTGAATTTTGGGTTTTACGCCGTTTTGTTCAGTATTACGTCGGGGGAACACCAGAAAGGGGTTTCATACATTTACCCATATTGGAAATGGATTCCGGGCTTTGGGCGCGACGAGCGCACGCTGTAACCACTAGGCTACCCCCTCGCCCCTCAATGTCGGGGGTTTCAGTGGTGACTAAAACAATAACTTCAACAAATGTGTGTGTATTTAAACAAGTCTATGTCGACAGAAGTTGTGTTAACACTCGGCAATACAGTAGCATCAGTACCTGACAGGGCGAGGACTGTCATCGTTACTAGACTGGTTCTTGGACTTGCACATGTATTCATAGAACACCTCATTCGTAGGTACGTCATTAGTGCTAGAGGGGACCACAGTTGATGTAGTCGCGCGTAATGAAGTTGAAAAACAAATGTCAAGTGAATAATATTTTCAGTGTAACATCAAAAGTAAATGATTTTTCGGCTGATCTTGAAAATTTGCAACAACCAATTCACCAATTACCATTGTCAGAAGACGAACAGTTGAAACGATAATTTAAACTCTATCCTGCATTCAATTCTGTCTTTCTGTCGCAACACAGGGTGATTCTTGCAACATCAGCGAGTCCTTGTTGACGTTCTACGACATCCCCGACTACGTTAACGCACACGATACAAAATAATGATACCGTTGACAAACCATTGGCAAGCATTAATATTTGACTGCATAGATGGTATTCCCACATGTTTGTCAAATGAATAACAGTAAACTGTGTCTGTCTACAAAAATATAACTTCTGTTTAATCTCAAGAAATCATTGGAGATACAAGCGTTATTGTTAAACTGTACAGTGATGTAAAAAGTAACAGGCATATGCCAAAAAGAAGTGACACAAACTAGCTGAAGAACAAAACGTGGAAACTAGAGGTTCAAATCTCATTATAATGTATTGCTGTAAGAACTATAAACAACATGCACAATCGACTTACAGTGGTATGTAGGACATTCTTGGAGCATGGCAACCTATAGTACACAAAGGCAAGGACAGTCATAATGTTTTTGAAACAACTGGGAAAGTGCTTTAAGAAATACAGTGAAACCTCCTTGAGTCCAAGTCCCAAAAGCCGAGGAACTAATGTGGAGTTACAAACCATACTGTTGATATTGTACTGTCGGAACCACACGGCAAACGAGGTTTCACTGTGTAACCATACAAGATGAAGTAAAATGGTTGTCAATATTTGTTGTATATCTTGAGACAGTGTTTTGCTTTCCTCGCGAAACTAAAACAAGATTTTGAAAATGAATATGGACATTTGTTGAAACTGAATGTTCTCTAATCAATAGATAATAGAGTAGTTATTCTTAGATTTGTGTAAAATGAATAGCAACATCCAAGTCATATGATAAAGACAATGAGATAATGAACACGTAGAAAATTAAAGTAATTGAAAAAGGTTGTATCGTTTCGAGTACAAAATGTATGCCCTGTGAAAAGATACCATGAATAATTATGCGAAAAACATTTGAAATGCAAGTTGCCTCACGTCTCTGCTATTTCTTGTTAGATGCTTCAGATATCAGTAGCAAGATACTTGAAACATATTTCGTTCCGTGTTCTTCGTCGACGAAATATTTCTTAAACAACGGAACTTAAAACAATTTCACTAGATTCAATAACTGTAAACACATTATCAACACAGAAACGAAACAATTCTCCAGCTATGCACGACTATTATCTACGTAAAACGAATTGACCTGCCACCACTGAACGAAAAAAGGCAACAAAAAACACACTATCCCTTCACTTCTCACTCAACTGCTATCGAAATCTATCTTTGCTACTTTAAGAGACAGGTGGCATGCATATGCATTGTAATAGACATGACACTGACAAGAAAACTGCATAGTTATGTCCGATCGCTTTGGTACGGTTATCACATCTCTTATATATATATATATATATATATATATATATATATATATATATATATATATATATATATATATATATATATATATATATATACTTTAACTTATATCCACAAACTTAAGTAACAATTAAAGTTAAATCAGCACCACTAACGGCAGCTAAGTGATGATGACGTCATCTTTGACGTCATTGCTGCGTCTTAATGAAACTTGATGAAATGATCTATAGGTGTAACCGTAAATAAATCATCCAGTCAAGTACGATCAAAATATGGAATAGAACTACACAGTGTAACAATTCCACTTTATATTAGTTTTACAATATCCGTATACTCTCAAATGCACTATAACAGTATTATTTAACGCAATACCAACCACTGACATACATGCCCCTCTCAAATAACCACCAAATTCACACCACTATTTACAAATGTAGACGACAAAGGAAATTGAGTACAAAAGGCCGATAACAGAATTTTACCGCTGCGTTTCATTTGCATTGTCGTATTGCATGTTTTTACTTAGTCGATAAAACAGTCAACTTCGGATATAACGAAATTTAGTATGGGGAACAGATGTTATAACGAACCCAGTCATAAACCAGTTTGAGTGATAATATATGTTCTGTTTATAGGAACAACTAGCCGAATTTGAACCCATATTGATCATACCCAGGAGATAGTTATATCCGCATTTGACAGCATCACCAACCGATACTTTGCATAGCTCCTTAATGTCCCGAAGTTTCAGATGTTGTGAAAAGTGAATGATTAGGTAAAGAATTAATCCATTTCAATTAAACGAAAAATCGTTAAGTAAACGGTGCATGCTGCAAAAAGCGCATTATTAATATTATATTCGTATCCCAATATTATTAAGGGACATACTTCTAACATGAACATTAATACTTTATATTGTTGATAAACATTTATACTTCGTCTGTTTCGCTTTAAATAATGTGCACATGGTATTTTTTATTGGTTTGTATTTAGTGTTAGTTTTGGTACACAATGGCATGGTTATACATGACGAGTAATCATCTGCACGTAACCTTGATTAACATGTACAGCGTGAATCACCATTAACATGTACAGCGTGAATCACCATTAACATGAACAGGGTGAATCACCATTAACATGTACAGCGTGAATCACCATTAACATGTACAGCGTGAATCACCATTAACATGAACAGGATGAATGACTCCTATCGCCTGTGCATGTCTATATGAAGGATACAACTTTTGGCTACACTTCAATATATTTTCTATTTACGTGAAATACCCAAAGGTGCAAGATGTACCATTCAAAACAATGTGTACAATAATAAAATAGATTATTAAAAAAACTACGACCGTATAGAAACGTTCCGAGGAAGAAATACTACAGTGTAAGTCTCGGTCGTACCGGGTTGACCAACTAGGTAATGAATACAGTAAATAGTATCTCCCAAACCAGAACTAACCAGAACTAGCCAGAACTGGGAATGCCCACAGGGAAGGAAGTCTGGAATAGCAATGTACATATTTACTAGTTCCCCATATATCTCATCAATGCATCATGAACATGTTCACATATTTCAAAATCAATATGTTATTGATCACTTGAAATGCTGATCTATCCATTGTTGTTCTGCAATTCTTTTGCTAAGTTAATAATCAGCTGCTTACTCTAATACAAATACTACAAAATAAATACAAAATTTTGAGAAAATATGACCAGAACGTAATGGTATACTGTTTCCTGCATTGCATTTTTACAGAAATGAGTTCATTAATCACACATTCTCTTTAATGTCAAAATAGTTTGTCGTCTGGGTATCCGCTCCTCCTCACGGCATCACTCGAACACATGGAAAGAAACAACGATGATATACACATGTGCCACAGCACCCATACAACAAAGTCGGCGCCAATGTAGTTATACTCCCTGGAGTGGTCCAGATGATGCCCAATGTGCTCCTGTCAATTATGTCACATCTTCTTGAAGCTTTAGTCATGAACTGACCTCTTTTATTCAACTGAACTTTCCTTTGCATATTTCTCGTATATGCATTAGGCGATACACAGATAACGTTATGAAGACGTTCAATGTAGAAACGTTACCTCACGTTTAGACACTGTTCATGTCAAATGCAGCATTTGGGCACCTTCTAAACAGTGAAAGCAACAATCACTCACTCAGGTACCAAGTATCCAGTCAGAAATGCAATCGTTTGCAACACGGAAAGGCGGCTGGAAATTTCCTTGACATGCCATCTTCATCTGGACTCATTATAGTTTAGATGAAGCGTTCTCGATGTTTACGTGCGTCTCGTCAATGACAGGAAGGTTCGGCGTACTGCTGCTATGGCGCCGTGCTTCGCTGAAGCTCGGCGCTTGTATGTTGTTGGTTTGCGAGGATGTTGAGGATGGCGAGAAGATAGGGCCGTGGCCATTGACGGTAGGGGAGTGGGGGGACAGGGTATCTGCCGTATGGAACGCTAGTTTGCCGAGAGCCCTCAGCTTGCTCATCTTTCCTGATTGGGAGTGGTCTGTAAAGATAAAACGACATGAGTAAGAAAAATGAAGCTGATGCCATATGGGTGTTGCATAGTCTATGTGCCAGTGTCTGCATGGTGTGTGTGTGTGTGTGTGTGTGTGTGTGTGTGTGTGTGTGTGCGTGCGTGCGTGCGTGCGTGCGTGCGTGCGTGCGCGCGCTAGTTCAGATTAATGCCGAAGATACCATGCCGCAGTTTAACATGGGCTAACAACTTAGAACAGGTAACACGCATAATAACACGTACTACGTATACATGTACTGTTCTACAAACATATATTTGTATATCACTGGATATATATTGTGTAAATAACCATGTTCAAGCTCTTGTGCAACAGGATTTGTGAGAATCAAAACATTTTATAGATCTATAAACATTTTGGAATTAATTTACTGTTTATTGTTCTTGATGTTTCCATTCTAGATCAAGTTTCTTATGTTACAACATAGGCAGATGTTATTATTCAGTAGCACGACCTTGTGGTTCGGAGTACAATTGAATGAACAAAATATAGTTGTAGTCACGTGACCGACAGGACATTTGCTAACTTAACAAAGTTTAGAAATCATATAGGATATATTTTTGAGAGCGATAGCTACTGACTTAATATATTTACATCATGTGAGTTAAGTAAATTGTACTTTACTTGGCGATTTAAGTTTTTATATTCTAGGTGTGGCAAATATTTCATTCTCATAACATTGGTGGTAAAGGCATCGCAGATTAACATGAAACTCGTGTTCAATAGACCCAGGTTTACATTGTGTACCAACAGTATTTGAATAGTCTATGTCTTTGTTTTTCCCAATATCTTGTATTTTGAAACAATGTAAACAGCTTCATTCACGCTGTTCTATGTGCACGGTCATTTTCTGTGCCTCTTCGTGTACAATGGAGAAGCACGTCTGGGCCAGGCATAAAATGCGTCGCAATTCGCTGTGCAAAGTTTTGTCCCTTAGACATGTCAGAAAATTGATCGTGGGTTCGAATCCCGAGCTGACTGTATTTCTGGATTCAGTTGTCAGAGCCATACCTGTGCTCTAGGGTTTCACAAAAGTGGTAAACATTAAAGATCAACAGACTTTCCTCCCACATGAAGTTGCGTGAACCCGTTTTTCACACGACAAGCTTTTTCACCACGATGTCAGTTGATAATCCAGTTACAGTTGGTAATAACCGGTTACTTTCAGAGACTGATTACCAGTATACCAGTCACTTACTCCATTATTTAATTACACCCCATTCACTGTGCCTCACAGATTGATTGGATGTCACATAATTGTACTGTCTGGGAGCAGTTAGTAGTTGCGAGGAATTTCTAAACACTTTTAACAAAAGTGCGCTCTTTTCACAGCAATATTTTTTTCTAAAACCTATTCATTTATTTCAGAAAAGAACGACGCGTGGGAGGGGCGAAGCCCCGAGTGGTTTATTCGTCCTGCAGTATTTTATTGTAAGATAAATAACGACCACGAGTCGTTTACTTCTTATATGAGATATCATGATTATGTAGATGTTAATAAAATGTACAAGCTTTACAAATATTTACCTGTATTCAAATAATGATGACTTCCTGAATACAATCCGACCTCGGTAATGTCGTACGATTCCATTTAATGATCAGGAGGTTAAATTTTGTATTTCCCGTATATTCTCACACTTTTCATGTCGATAAACTGTATCCTTTCTCCGAATACCGATTGTCATATTTTCCTACTGTTGGATGCGACCAATGCGTTTATCTGCGTTGCTTAGCTAACATCTGTGGGGAACATTTCATTAGACACTCCCCTCTCAAATCTAACGTCGTCCAAATTACGACGTCATCAAGGAGCGAGCGCCTGTTCGAATCTCAAGAAATGATGTAATGATAGAACAATGTTTTATCTTGAAATAAACCACGCTTTGTTCTTCATTGTTCTTTGCAATTTATGGCGTAATTGTCTTATATTTACACATAATACTATGTTACTTATTAACATCGAAGAACATTGCTTTATCTTAAAGTATATCTTATCACCAACATACCAAGTGCTCTTCCAAGCTCGTGGGAGGTGATGCCTTTTTCAGAACATAAACCTTTGATGGACTCAAGTTGTTTCTGAAACAAGTAATATCATTATATATGTATACCAATCTCTGAAAATGTTCTGGTGTAACCAAAAACATATTTATACGTTACGTTCATTTCAAAATCATAGATTCGTTGTTGATATTTGCAAGTCTTCGAATAACAGAAGAGTGTCATGTCAAAGTAATTCTTTAACATTTGTACATTATTATTCATTCTCTCTGTTTAGAATCCTTGGTTAGCACCATGCCTTTCTTAGCGACCAAGGCCCACAGTACTTCCTCCAACATCAAGCTGACACGCTTTAATATGACCGAATACTGTACAAACCGACGTGAGCCTTCTGACTCTTATCACTACCTTCCAAGGCCCACAGTACTTCCTCCAACACAAGCTGACACGCTTTAATATGGCCGAATACTGTACAAACCGACGTGAGCCTTCTAACTCTTATCACTACCTTCCAAGGCCCACAGTACTTCCTCCAACATCAAGCTGACACGCTTTAATATGACCGAATACTGTACAAACCGACGTGAGCCTTCTGACTCTTATCACTACCTTCCAAGGCCCACAGTACTTCCTCCAACACAAGCTGACACGCTTTAATATGGCCGAATACTGTACAAACCGACGTGAGCCTTCTAACTCTTATCACTACCTTCCAAGGCCCACAGTACTTCCTCCAACATCAAGCTGACACGCTTTAATATGGCTGAATACTGTACAAACCGACGTGACCCTTCTAACTCTTATCACTACCTTCCAAGGCCCACAGTACTTCCTCCAACATCAAGATGACACGCTTTAATATGGCTGAATACTGTACAAACCGACGTGAGCCTTCTAACTCTTATCACTACCTTCCAAGGCCCATGCGGTTCATATCTATTACTATTTATAGGCAAACTGCATAAGGTAACTGGAGATATGAAAGAATGCATCTTGGTAACTGTGTCTCACCAGGAGCTGTTTGTTCTTCTCGTGTGCCTCCTGGTACTGCTTGTCGATCTTCTTCTTCTGTTTGTAGAGAAGCTTCATCTGGAACCTGTGTTTGTCCAGCACAGCTACGATCAAACCTACAGGAGACAATACGTTGTCCATCAACTGTTTCCGGATATGTTTTAGTTATTCACTTTTTTACTTTATTCACGGCGCTTTATCCAAAACCACAGGTTTGCATTTCGAATATTATACATTTTCACCTTTTTGCGAAAACACCTGGTGTATTCAGTATTTAGTAGTGATGCATACAGATGTTTATGCCGTAGTCGGAATCGTACAATGGACACTGAGGCGGTTGGGTAGCCTAGTGGTTATAGCGTTCGCTCGTCACGCCGGGTTCAATTCCCCACATGGGTACAATATGTGATGCCCATTTCTAGTGTCCCCGCCATTATATTGCTGGAAGATTGCTAAAAGCGGTGTAAAACAACATTCACTCATTCACATTGACACTGCCTTAAGCAGATATCTCTTATGATTATAGAAAGGGTTTTGTCGCTTTTAAATGCGTCATTCAGATTTGATCAAATAGCAAATATTTGACTTACTGTTGAGAATTCGAATGATTCTCCATGGCAACAGGAAGGTTAAAACGATGACGTAGTTACTGATTTCCATGCTCATGACGCCTTCGATGAAGACGAGATCGATAACGAAGGAGATGAGGATTACCAGAGCATCGAACACCTGGATGTGGAAAATTCTGTTGTTGAAACACCTTACATGAAGAATTTCAAATACATTAAGTTCATATTGAAGCTTCTGCTTACCCCGCAACCTATTGTGAGCAATACAGTGAACGTCTTTCATCATGATAACCAAGTAATAGCATGTTAAATATTCTCACTAAGTTAATCAGCAACTGAAATACCAAACAATTTGAAAAGATATTAGCTAGACAACTTAACTCACATGTTTATAGCAATGTAGTTCCATGCAGATTTAACATTACGTACACACTGTTTAGAGAATCATTAAATATTACCCTACGGGAACTATTTCAATAATTTTATACATATATATGTTTACAATTATTCTTATTTGGTTTGAAGACATTTACATTCCAATAATATCGTTGTATAAAATATGTTTTCACTACGATACAGCGCTATTTGCTAATTACCTGCATTTTGCTCCTGAAAAACCGAGGGACAGTTGCACCTATCTTCAAGGCAGTCTGAAAACAATACGAGTAACAGGTATGTGATTAGGTTATTGTTATTATTCTGAAGGAGTATAGGATAATTAATGGGAAGCAATAAAAGAAGAGACAATACTGTGAAATGACGCACCAATTGACGATAGTTTGGATACGTCTTTAAAAGAAGACACGTCATCTATGTTCCTTGAAATTAGATGACATAAGGAAGGAAGCCTGTAGAACAGATGACTTTATCCGATGAAGCAAATAGACACAGATAAATTATAGCAAAATAAAATAAATCTTAAGTAAATTGTTTCATCAGCTTCTCTGTCATCGGGTAAACTTGGTGAGCAATTACCGACATAATAGACACTTTCACATTTTGTTTTCGTTCACGTGACTATCACTTGACCCGCCACGCTATATGACCGCAGTAAGGGTTTATGATCATATTATAGCTGTTGCAACGGCGGAAGACTTCGAAATCTATCGTCATATTGTTGGAATTATCTACAATGGTAATTGACTGCAAGCAGATAACAGTGAAAGCTTTCAATGTCATCACTTTATTGGTCCCCGAGCTACAATGCAGGCAGCGGAATTTGGAGAGATGGAACGGGAGATTTAGCCACGTAGCTCGGTCAGAAAAGGAGCACGAAAGCTGGCCATATGCGTATGTGGTACCATCAGTTCGATTACATGTAGAATAAACACATGCAGTGTCCTTTGACTGGTTCATTTCATCCGGTATTCCATCCTTTGTTCAAATTATGACGCAAGGAAACACCAACCGCATGTGAGCTCATGGCTTCTAATACAAATGCAATCTGAAATTGTTAACAGAAGATGCACTTACAGCATTACATTCGTGTCAACACGCTCCACTGACCACGTCACGAAGCAACGTCCTCCCAAAGCGTGGCACCTGAATACAGCCCAGGGACGTACCCAGATCAGCTTACTCAAGACTTTGAATACGGAGTTTAGTATGACATTCGAGAGCAAACTGATTCATTGTCCGGGGTAACAAATGTTGTAACGTTGTAAACAGACCAGCAAGGGTGGAAACTGGCGCCATATAATTTACTCATTAATATTCCACAGACGGGCATCACTTATGTTTCCCTTATCCTCATATAGCGGCGTGAATTAGCGTGAATCCAAGAGAAATTTGATTCCTAAATTCTACATATACACATAGCTTATAGTTGCTCAACAAAATGTTGAAATAAGCTGACAGTACATTAATAAATAATATGAACATTCAAATTACTAAGACTGAAATAACATAGAAACACAAGGTTTATCGCAAAATGATAAACCTACACAGTAAAACCTCGTTAATACGGATATATTTAAACCGAAAACTTCGCATGTCGGACAAATACTGATTGGATCGTTATAAATGGCATAACTCTTCATAATCCATATACATCGTTAATCCGTAAATGTGTGTCTGGGCGATTTTATGGGAAGACTATTGTCCGGATTAATGGGGTTTGAGTGTGTAATGGTTATGGAATAGAATGCTTACTATGAACACAAGAAGTGATAAAATGGCAACAGAAGTTAAGTGGAAACCATGTCCCATCTCCTCCTCAATACTGTGTCCTCCACCGTGACCGTCATCACTCCCTGATGCACGTTTCCGTCGGTGATGGTGAAGATGAGTCCTGGTGTCGTTGCCGTCGTGGTCGCAGAATGTTTGATTCCCAATCCAGTCTATACTTGCCGCCACTATTCTATCATACATGTTTTCCACAGCATGATCAGTGATACCGTGCAAATAATCTGGATATTTATTCTGAAGTTCTGTGAGGAAACCCACGGACAAGTGTTGATGATTTTTTATCAAATCTGGAATAGAATACATTGTGACATAATGGACACCACAAATACATATTTATAGTATCATTAGAAGTCGCGGTTAGAATGGTTGGCGTTAAACAACAAGAGTGCGACATACGAAAAGCTGCAAAATTGCTGAAGCGGCGTTAAGCAACAATCACTCACTCACTAGACTTGCTACAGGTTCTGAATCTCCCACCTCACCGGTGCTCCTTGTCAATTTAAATGAAGTTGTTTGTTTCTGTCAAAAGTATGTATTTTCAGAGACAAAGCGTTAATCTAGACCTACGTATTGCACTCTGCATCACGAAGCACCGATACGTCCCTCCCAGTTATCAAAAGCTCAACGCGATCCAGTCTAAGTCTAATTGAAAAGTGAAATATCAAAGACAATGGTTAACATGTAAATGGGTAGCATTGTTCCATTGATGTCTCTGTATTGCAATGTTGCTGCAAGCTGTTACAAAGTTAAAGTGTTCTTCTTATTTGTTCCATTTTCCCTATCGTTATATTAAACAAGGGAAGTATGTAATCTCGTGTGTAACAAATTACACTTGATCGATGACCCCGGTCTCGTTGCAGTTGCTTTGTGACTGAACCTTTCAAGTGAGTTTTACAACTTTTGTTCCATGTTTTCAAGGTTCATCAAAGGTAAAAACAACTATTTAAACTGGTAAGTGATTAGGTGGAGTGGTCTGAAGAGGATTTTCTAAAGCTCGTTTCAGAGATAACTTATAACTAACCTCAAACAGAAGCATTTACAAAATAACACAAACCACACGATTTTTGAAAGTATTTGAGTAGAATCAATCACTCGATAACGTTTTGTTTGAGTTTTCTTGGGTCTTTTTGAATTCCTATAACTACCATCAATCTATACCTATCTGATGAATCTGAATAAAATAATATCGTTCAACAAAGAGCCTGTTTACGTGTGTGCTATTGGGAGGTATAAGTCAGATTTGTAAATGATACATGTGAGAGTATCGATATTGACTCTCTCCGATGATGATGAATTCAATAATAAGTACGCTCATTAACTTAAAATTAAAACTTTAAATACTTTTCAAATGTGTTCTCAGCATTTATTGTTTGGATACATAGTCGTAGTGTTAATGATACAATTGTGACATTACATTGCACATATCCAGTGAAGTAAGGCAGTGAGTACAAAAGTGAGTGGGTGAATGGTATGTCAGTTCCTTCACAGCATGTCAGTGTAATAGTGTGGGGTCCCAACCGAGCGCTGTGGATGCATCCCCATGAACACAAGGATTGCGACGACATCCTTAACTGGGGAGAATCTGGGATTCGAACCAGGACCAGCGACCACTGGAAGCTAACAGTCGTAACTAGTTGCAGCATGCAGGACGTCACAAAGTGAGTGAGTGAGTTTGGAGTAACGCCGCTTAATCAGTATTTCAGTTACATCATGGCGTGTCAGCTTGATGTGGGAAGATAGCCCAAAGCGATTCAGCCCTTAGCCGGTTCACGGGTTAGTGAAACCCACTAGCACGGGGAAAGTGATGACACACCGAGGAACACGTTTCTGACACGCCCCAGGGACGCAATTCTGCACAACCTTAAAAGACGTGGACACTCGTGACACTAGAACTTTGTGGTGTTCAGTTTACCTTGTAGTGTCCAAACCAACGTGTCGATCCCAATTACGCGGATCGATACTCATGATGTCAATCACTAGATTGTCTTGTCCAGACACGATTATATACAGACCGCCGTCATATAGCTGGACTATTATTGAGTGCGGCGTTAAACAACAAACCAACCAACCAACCCAACGTTTAGAAGTAGATATACATTCACTTACTGCCCACGTGGTTGAAGTCAAAGGTGAGCTCTCCGAGTACAAGCAGACAGTCGATGACGTTGAGTATGACGACGACAAGCAGCACGGGTTTGCAGTGAAGAAAATGCTCCAGCCTTCGGCGTACTCTGTTATAAAACAAGGGTAGATAAACAATAACGTTAACATTCGAACCAATTTGGCTTAAATTCTCCTTTTAACCTCTTTGCTTCAAATACCACTACCACAACAACTACTACTACTACTACTTCTACCACTACAGCTTCAACTACTACTACTACTACTCCTAATGATAATAATAATAATAATACAACTACTACTACACCTACAACCAATAATGAAAATACAACTGCTACTACTACTGCTGCTGCTACTACTACTACTACTACTACTACTACTACTACTACTGCTACTACTACTACTGCTACTACTGCTACTACTACTGCTACTACTACTACTACTACACTTAATAAAGTATCTAAGACGCTGAACATAAACCATACAATGTAGGTACATTTGTTTCGGAAAAGAAGGTTCTGGAATCTATGAAAAGCTATCATTCCTTAATCATCCTTCGAAAATAAAAAACACGCATGTTTCTTTGTTATAATGAAAAACTATAACACTAAACACCGGGTAATTTCTGTGTTGCCTCAATGTCTGAATTATAATATTATTCGACTGTACTTTGAAACTGTATCTCTAGTTCTATGCAACATTTAGCTATTATACCCAATCCATATTAGCAAAACAACAAGAACCGTTACTGTAACAGTACATACAAATGCCACATTACAGGGGACACAGCCCTGGCATCTACACCATGAAACTGGACGAGTATTTTGACGTTGCGATCAATGTCTCTTACAGATAATTGACAGATACTGGCATGGGTCTGGATCATTTATCAAGTGAAAACATATCTCTTCCAAATCTCATAAATTATTGATTGTTTTGGCTGAAACTTTCCAAAGAATTTGAGTGTCTCTTGAGTAAAATTTCTAATTAAACATAATGGAGGGCTTTCCTTCTTCCTCTAAGAATCGATGTTACGTTTCGCCTTACATAGGTTCAGACCACTTTGGACGGATCAATCTGTGAACGATGTCCCTTGTGTCTCGACTAGCTTTCACTCTGACCGTAGAACGTGTTTACAATAAGAAATCAATTATATCATAGTGCTAATTCTCAGACCTACGTTTGGAGACTTTGAAGAGAACGAACAACGCTAACAGCTTTATAACTGCTTCTGCTATGACCTGCTTTTCTTAGACTTTATGTTCCCCTCGTGGTATTAATGAGACAGCATTTTCTTTACAAATGCAAGAAAACGGTCTTTTATTTTCTTATCATTTATATTGATACGCGATTATAATAATTGATAGTCGGTCGGCAAATATGTTCAACAAGCGGCCCATCATGATTTGTCATAATCGATTTGGATGACTGAATATGTGTATTGCTTTATTTAGAATATTTTGCAACTGTAAGATATGAAATTGTTGACTGATGACCCAGAAATGAAACAGCACACACATAAAATATAACATGCCTGTTTTTAATCACATGGTAATATATTCCATGAAATATATATTACGCAATTTGGACTGAGAACTGACATGAGAAAAAAGTTAAGCTACTATAAACGATGATAAATAATGAATACAACATAGTCCTTAGATTTCAAATTTGTTTCCAAACAATATATCATACCTGTTAATGATTCATCGACGTTAAGTTGTTTTTACCAGGAGAGGATCACCAGTACCAATGTAGTGTTTGTTTTTACCAGGAGAGGATCACCAGTACCCATGTAGTATTTGTTTTTACCAGGAGAGGATCACCAGTACCATTGTAGTGTTTGTTTTTACCATGAGAGGATCACCAGTACCAATGTAGTGTTTGTTTTTACCAGGAGAGGATCACCTGTACCAATGTCGTGTTTGTTTTTACCAGGAGAGGACCACCAGTACCAATGTAGTGTTTGTTTTCACCAGGAGAGGATCACCTGTACCAATGTAGTGTTTGTTTTTACCAGGAGAGGATCACCAGTACCAATGTAGTGTTTGTTTTTACCAGGAGAGGATCACCAGTACCAATGTAGTGTTTGTTTTTACCAGGAGAGGATCACCAGTACCAATGTAGTGTTTGTTTTTACCAGGAGAGGATCACCAGTACCAATGTAGTGTTTGTTTTTACCAGGAGAGGATCACCAGTACCAATGTAGTGTTCTTATCGTTTGAGAATCTCGTGCGTTCTATTTCCATAGTTCATCCCGTATGGGTTCTCCTTTGTATTGGCACTGGTCAACTATTGTGTTTCCCACATTTAACTATTATGCAAATCCTGTCATTCGTATCTGTAGATTCCGATATATACCAAAGCATAATAAGTGTCAGGTCTAAAATTGTATTGCTGAAATTGATTTTGCCATTTTGTGAAATAGCAGGCTGTGAGTGGTTCATAACACCACGTGACATTCGTACCTCATATTCGTTATGTATGTATAGCAGCATGAGCTATGCTCCTTTGACCGATAATATCATCCTTTGTCAGATGCATTATATTATGATCATCATAACTAATATTTAACCAACTCAGTCTTCTCATATACCCTGCAAATGTCTTAAAACAACAGGGCAGTACTTGATGAAGGCCCTTCATAGGTTATGGCCACGGTCAATAGTTCTTTCGACTTAAGATTCAGCTACACTAATATATTACGCATCAGCAAACTTCCAGTGAGTATCTCTCGAAGATCTGTTATCTCATGGTGAGCTATCACCAGACTCTATTTAAGTATAAATATTTCACGAGTCTATTAACTTTTTACCAAACATGACCCTGCATACACTTCCCAGCCCTACATCAATATCTTACTGGTATTCAAGTTTCAAGCATAAGACAATCTTAAAGGTAGGCTTGTATACATAAAACGGGCAATGTTGTTAACATCAAAGGCAGACTTTGCAAAGCACCTCCATATAAGGCCCCTGCATATAAGGCCCCTAAACAATTTAGCCTTAACTTAAGATTGTTGTGTGAGGTAGACACGAGAGTGTTTTTCATCCTGGGTTCCATTATCGAAGGTGACGCAGTAAATGTTTTTGAATGCAGGGATCTTGATCCATTGCCAAGTTGTTGTATTGATTCTCATCTTTGTTTTATAACCGCCATAAGGGAACCCCGTGGGAGTTTATTACAGAGTACAACGAGGGTGTGTGTCGTTTTAGAAGAAGCTCGAGAATAAAAAGAGTATGGGTGTAAATATAATTGTACTACGCGGCTACTCATACCCCGGCACTAACATTGGGTGATTGAGCATTATGTATTCTGGCTAATATGATTCAGAAGGGGAAATTTCTTTGATCTGCAGGAGAGACATTTTTTCAGAGGATTTTTTTAATGTCTGCCTCTGACAGATCTCCGACAAGATTAATGCTATTACTAGTATTGATCGAGGAGACTTGTTAGTGAGTTGAGTTGGAGTGCGAGTGGGATACAATTTTCTCCAAAATGGCGGACATTGAACCTGTGAAAGGTATATTGTTTCAAGATATGTAGAAGTAAATTGAAATTGTGCAAACTGACCGCTGTACGTGTCCGTTGGTGAAAACATAAGCAATTTACATCATATCCATAATCATAAGATGTCTCCTAGAAGCACAGGACCTGTGAAGATCCGGGTTGGCATAGACCTACGGCAACCGGATCCTTACCGTAAGAGGCGGCTATGCTTGTTAGATAAACGACTATATATTTTATACAAATAATTTTACAATGCGCCATGTATTACATCTTATGATGTTATGTGTTTAAACATAGTCAAAAGAAAATTTTGACCGTCTCTCATAAATTGCTGAGTGATGGTCATGGGTATCTTACTACATTTTCAAAAATATATATTGTGTATTTGGTAAATCTGATGTATCAATGAGTGAGACGTAAATAAACATATCTGTCTGTCTGTCTGTCTGTCTGTCTGTCTGTATGTCTTGCAAGAGGCGACTAACGAGATCGGATGGTCAGGATGGTTGACTTGGTTGATGCATGTCATCGTATGCCAATTGCATGGATCGATACCCATGATATCCATCACTGGATTGTCTGGTCCAGTATTTACAGACCGCCGCCATGTAGCTGCAATATTGCTGAGTCAGGCGTTAAACAACAAACAACAAACAAATAAACACACGAACCTTGAAGCAGAGTAAATCATCAGCATGTGTTTATGAATCACCTAGTGACATGAAGGTGTGCGTGCCCCCACGGGTGGCACCTGTCACGAACTCAGTCAACCGTTCACCCGAAACAAACCAAGGGAACACTTTGCACAAGCCAAACCCAGGAACCGCCGCATCCGACATGTCTACTAGACAACCCACCGAAAGCTGTTCTAAGCCTGATGAAACAACCTCTGGGCAAGAGTCATGAGTCTCTTTGCCATATTCGTAGAACGCGCATCTCGACATTGCCTTAATAGTTGTATTATGTAGACACCAAAGGCTGAGGCTGCTGGAATATCTCTTGACATAAATCAAAAGTTGACAATTGGGAGCTGAAGTCATCCGTCTTGTAATACAGACTTGTGGAGACTTTTTGCCACTTTGAATCTTTATGCACATATACTGAACCGCAAAAGAAACGTCAACTCAACAATACACAGTCATCAATGCACATGGCGGACACACGATATGCTGACATGTGATGCTAGTTTTGTGTTTACGAACATTTGACACTTTCATTTCAACCTTGATGATCAGTTTTGCCAAGTTTCATCTTTTTAATATGTCCCAAAGTATGTATACATTGTTTGGACAAATAAGGTTTCTCATATGTCTATCCATGCTGACGTTTCTTTTGCGGTTCAGTATATTTAATATAAAACACATGCATGGGTTTATTTCTACTTCAGGTGAGTGAATCTGTGGAAGGGAATTGGCTATTTGACCATTATTGAACTTCTTGGTCAAAAACAATATGAAAACAATACACAGGGAGTATCCTGTACTTGAAACAATCACGTCTGCGTCACTTCACTTCGGTCACATGTTGTAAGCTGACACGACGGACAGGAACATTTTACATAATTTCAAAGAGCTAAATTGCCCGAAATCAAATGCACCATCATGCTATGCACAATAAATCATCAAGGTCGGCGATGACGCCAATACATTTCTCTTTTGTATTTGTCCTTTTGTTATCGCATATGGATAGATCAGGTTGCCAAGTTTTTCATCAAATCATAGGTGTAACATGCGAATAGTCTGATAATTGTGTCGTTTGTTGTCATATCTCGTCATGCGAGGGATTGCAAAACACCACTGCCTTAATGTATGTGTAACAGAATTGCATATATTCTTTCTGTAACTATGGGTCGAGGTCAGAAACAAAATAAAAGCAATATAGAATGTTTTACTACGTAATTTACGATGTTTCAAAAAGAAATAATACTACGTCAGTGTGGTATTATATTCAAAAGGCAATGCAAAATGCCTATGGAGTGTGGTTTCCTGTTTAACATGAAGAGCATAAATAGTGTAGTCTCCTGTTTGACATCAAGCATCTGTGTAGTGTGATCTCCTGTTTGATATCAAGCATCTGAGTAGTGTGGTCTCCTGTTTGACGTCAAGTATCTATGTAGTGTGGCCTCCTGTTTGACTTCAAGTATGTGTGTAGTGTGGTCTCCTGTTTGACATCAAGTATCTGTGTAGTGTGGTCTCCTGTTTGACATCACGTATCTGTGTACTTTGGTATTCTGTTTGACATGAAGGATCTGTGTAGTGTGGTCTCCTGTTTGACACCAAGTATCTGTGTAGTGAGGTCTCCTGTTTGACATCAAGTATCTGTGTAGTGTGATCTCCTGTTTGACATCAAGTATCTGTGTAGTGTGATCTCCTGTTTGACATCAAGTATCTGTGTAGTGAGGTCTCCTGTTTGACATCAAGTATCTGTGTAGTGTGATCTCCTGATTGACATCAAGTATCTGTGTAGTGTGGTCTTCTGTTTGACATCAAGTATTTGTGAAGTGTAATCTCCTGTTTGACATCAAGTATCTGTGTAGTGTAGTCTCCTGTTCGACAACAAGTGTCTGTTGAGTGTGGTCTCCTGTTTGACGTCAAGTATCTGTGTAGTGTGGTCTCCTGTTTGACATCAAATATCTGTGTAGTGTAGTCTCCTGTTTGACATCAAGTATTTGTGTAGTGTGATCTCCTGTTTGACATCAAGTATCTGTGTCGTGTGGAATCTTGTTTGACATCAAGTATCTGTGTAGTGTGATCTTCCGTTTGACATCAAATATCTGTGTAGTGTGATCTCATGTTAGACATCAAGTATCTGTGTAGTGTGATCTTCCGTTTGACATCAATATCTGTGTAGTGTGATCTCCTGTTTGACATTAAATATCTGTGTAGTGTGATCTCCTGTTTGACATCAAGTATCTGTGTAGTGTGATCTCCCGTTTGACATCAAGTATCTGTGTAGTGTGGTATCTTGTTTGATATCAAGTGTCTGTGTAGTGTGATACCTTGTTTGATATCAAGTATCTGTGTAGTATTATCTCCTGTTTGACATCAAGTCTCTGTGTAGGGTGGTATCTTGTTTGACATCAAGTATCTGTGTCGTGGGGTTTCTTGTTTGTCATCAAGTGTCTGTGTAGTGAGGTCTCCTGTTTGACATCAAGTATCTGTGTAGTGTGATCTCCTGTTTGACATCAAGTATCTGTGTAGTGTGATCTCCTGTTTGACATCAAGTATCTGTGTAGTGTGATCTCCTGTTTGACATCAAGTATCTGTGTAGTGTGATCTCCTGTTTGACATCAAGTATCTGTGTAGTGTGGTCTCCTGTTTGATATCAAGCATCTGTGTAGCGTGGTCTCCTGTTTGATATCAAGCATATGTGTGTAGTGTAATGGGGCCTTCTGTTGACAGCATTGTCTGTGTAGTTTGGTATTCTGTTTGACATTAAGTAGGTCTCTGTAGTGTGGTCTCCTATTTGACTGTTAGTGTATAGGTAGTATTTAACATGAAGTTTTACACACCATTGTATATTGTTTTATTTCCAGATTTAAAAGAAGTATAAATTCAATGACCAATTTGATATTTGAGACTATCCTGAAGCTGACAAAGCACATCACATCATACGTAGGATTGACAACGTACTTTTAGCCTATCACTGTCGATTAAGTCAATGAAAGAACCGTAACGATCCATACATCGCGAAGAAGGGATATTTCTTCGGGAAGCCAGTACTAGATAATGAGATACTGTCAATATTCAACTGTGTTAATTCATTTTTATGGATCTTAACATATCTGTAGTTTAGTGTTGAAGGAAATTGGTTATTTCATCAAAACATCTGTCGTCTTTCATATATTTTCTTCAATACTAATTGGGCATGCATCCAATAACACATCAAATATCTTTTCGTTCTGTTACATTACTGATTAGATAAAATATTATTATAATCACTTACTTCTGAAGTGTTTCCCTTGGTGGAGCTTGACTCTCATAATTGATTTCATCTTCTAATTCTGATTCGAGCTTGTCAAGTTCACCCAAACCATTCATAGACGCAATCTTCAGAGTTTGTGCCGCGAGGAACTGAAACAAACAACATGACGTAAATGTATAAACATGATATACACATCGAATAAATGTAGCAAAGCCTGATGTTGGCCATGTGACTGTTCATCTCAACCGAATATCAAGTATTTCAACAATCAGAGACGCATCTCTAGAAAGGTGAGAACGCATATTTCGTTTAGGTTATGATACTTTTTCTCTTGAACAATTCAATCAAATCTAAGATAGTTATAGTTTCTAATATTTATTCCAAAGCACCTCGAGACACAACACCCCGTGTTGGCATGCGTACACTACATAAACATATCGTACGACACGTGATATTTCATGTTCGCACTGCATGAAAATATAGATCGGTGTCATGTGACGTCTGATTTGTCTGTTGAATAGAGTAAACATCAATCACGTGTGTGTGTATGTGTGTGTGTGTGTGTGTGTGTGTGTGTGTGTTGAGTTAAAAGATTATCTCCAGTCACATAAAGTCACCTTATATATCTGCCCACGAGAATAAACATCTCGAGTGATTTGCCGTCATGTACTGCCAGAATATGCACGTCATTGCAGGTCAGCTACGTCATTTCGGTATACGTCACGAGGGTGCACGCCGCCTGAGACGAGACTTAAAATGTCACCATATGTAGCCATTGTCGGAGCGGGTCTGTGTATTCATATCGTCGCTAACGTCCATTCTTGTCTTAATAAAGACACCCTTCAAACATCTTTGGTGAAGAAATTCACCTTTACCTGTTCAGCTTGAATCGGCAACCTGATCGTGGCAAGCGTCAGGTTAACTGTGGGCCGAGTGTCTGTATTACTGGACCATAAATCTACCAGCCAGATTATGAAAGCATATTATCACGGAGCCCGTCCCTTTGAGACAATAGTTCGCTGTCTTGGATATCATCCAAAGGGTCTTTCACAGCATATACCTGTCAATTAATCTTTATTACCAGTTGAGTCGTTGGACGATTATGAACGATTATATATTATATTATATAATAAACGATTTTCTCTTTGACTACATTTCTCATGAAACGTAGTCTGTTCAGTGTCATTGTGTGCTTGAGATAATATAAACACTGTCAATATATTTTACTTCCACGGTATAAGTGGATGTTGTAGTTAGGTTATGTACAATGTCCCTCATTTCATTTTGAATATAACAGACACTAAACACTTACACTGATATCGATACGGAGATATGCACATACATATGATATGTATAACGACACACCAATGACCTATTTTAAGGTCAAGCTGTCACATGTGCCTGTGATAAACGTATATGGTGACATTTGAGAAAGGCGTCATAAACTAGTTTGAAATGACATTCATCCTGATGGCACCATTACAGCATCTCACTTCGTCACTGAGGACAATTTGACGCAATGATAGTGGTCAAGTAGTACTTCGTAACCGCTAAGAATAATCGCATCTGTGGAATATTTTCTCATCTCACCCCTCATTTCATCTTTGATTTCCTTATGATATAGATCTATTATTTTCTATGAACATACATACACTTGGTAACATCTGGACACTTTATGTTTGTTCCTTGGCGGAGTCCGAGGAGGAATTGGTCCCCCATTAGGCTATGCTTGCAGTAAGAACTGACTACCAATGTTTGGATGGTTTAGACCGGCTGTGTGTCATCGTGCCCCGATGGCGTTGATCACTGCTCACGCTTTCACTAGTCACTGCTTCCTCGGGCCCACAATCGTCTTTCTACAGTCTTTTCTGACTCCTGCGTTAAACAGTATTCATTTCCTTACTCACATGTATTTTGTTTATTGAATTTATTTTTGGAGAACTTGGTTCCTTGTATCATTCTCCGCCGAATCAGGGAAGAGAAATAATATCTTTGGTCTAGCTGTCTGATGCAAATTACATTAAGAGGAAGTGACAGGCCATCGATGCCGAATGTACTGCTTACCACGCGCAAATCAATAAGGTCTTGGAGCCGACTACCGGACTCACAGAGCGGAAGTAATGTTTCCAAACATCACAATGTCATCTGCTGTTCTTCCAATAACTACTGTCCCTACACTTCCACCGTAATTTATACGACAAATGACTTGGAAGTTACTATTCGCCGGGTTGGATACTTCAATTTGTTTTGACTGATTCACCAGACATCGACGGTTGTCATTTTGAAACACATGACATACCACATGGCAAATAACATACAGTAGAGAAATCAGTACGATTTGCCTTGTGTTGAAACAATGTTCCCATGAAAACATTCAGATGGAGAAAGAATTGAAGTGAATTAGTTGCACTTTATATATATTTACGGTTGATAACTGTTGATAAATAGATGTTTGGGGAACGAATATGAAACATTAACAACGGAATTAAACGAAATACTCTGAAACATAAATATAGGCCATCTGGCAAATATTTGCATGTGTACGCGTGCGTGTGCTTGGTGATTCAGTTGAAAGAAGCTGATCGATTAATTGATTAATTTGATACCCAAATCAATATATACAAATCAACTAATTGTCAGCAATTAACCTTGAAGAACAGTCCAATTCAAGTAATGAAAAGGTACACACCCCACTCACAAATTCAGGAGGAAAACATATCGATTAGTATCATCATGAATACGCTTAATCAAACATATCGTCCCCAGAAGCCAAATATATTTCTACTTTCTACACAAACATGATGCAAAGCACGTATCAAAAGGCTTGAGACACATTAAACCAACCAGAAAAAACATGAGTTATGAGGACAAGAATATCGTTGCCAATCAGCAACACTTTCAGGAAAATTGAAGAATTACAAACTGGTGCTAAGTGGGTTTACAAATAACATCCCCCTGCAAACGGAACTGTGACGTCTTTACAGACGATAACCCAATAAAAAGCCACCATGATATCCTTGTTTTTTCGGCTTTCGGGGGCGTTTAATGCCTTTAGATGGAGCCTTAATTTCCTTCAGCTGATTTAGTGAGACAGTTTAACTAGCGTGTCTGGAAGCGATACTGCTAATCTATTTCATCAGATTAAATTCCAGTTTTACAAGTATGAGGTGAAACTTTGAAAAAAGCAATGACTGCCAGAATAAATACACAGCGACACATCCATACTTTCAGGCAGACATGGTGTTTTATATACAATATACAAGCTCATCATATATCAAACAATTGTATCATGCTCCCCTGATCTTCTATAACTTCACTTATTATCGATTTAAAACTCTATTTTTATAATATTATCTCTCCTTATATGAAGATATACCTTCTTCATGCGAATCATGCGAACTCCTGTCATGTCACCTCCATGTCAATATTTGGTTAATTGATTCGCTGTAATGTGGCTTGAAGTTGTATTTCTTTGGAATATGTAACATTTGTAAAACAAGTGCTGTAAGTTGTAAAATTCTCTACTAGCATCTTGTATGATTCTGTTTTCTTTATCTGATTCAGGCTATTCTTCACAATTACTCATGGACCTAAGATATCGTCTTAGAGCAAGTAACGCAATACACGTCCGTGTACCAGTATTCATGAGATACAAGATACAGCTGGATTTGACTTTTTTAAAGTTAATGGATTAGATTGCTTTTCTTATACTGTATAAACATATGTTAACTGGTGTCAAATTGCACTCACGGCAGTTTTGAATCAGTCAGCTCTTATCTTGTCTGCTAACTCAAGTTTATATGATCTAAATCAATCTAGGAATACCCATTACCCAGTTTATATGGATTCGATATATCAATTTCACACAAGGCATCAATTACGATGTCTAGGCCAGGCCGTTAAAACACACCAGACTGAGAAGCGTTTCTTTCTGTTTCTTTCGGCTATACACCATTGGAGAATTACTAAAACCATCACACTTTGAACGTCAGATTCCAAATAGTTTTGCAGCTAAATAATGCTTGTATATGTGTTTAATGTAATGTAAATTATGTGATAATCAATATATGCATTTCCCAAGAGATATTTGTATAGTAATTATAACTTTCATTGTTTCAGGGTCAAGTTCATAATATAACAACGTGAAACATATGGAAAACTGTCTCCCTTAAGAAGGAACAAATCAAAATATACAAATGGTTCTGCGAATTGATCTGACTTTAACAGTATTGTTGATTTTCTTATACTGAAAAATACACCTATCATTTTAGGTATTTCTATTATACACGTGGTTCTGCTCATTGATTTCACCCTTTGGAAGTCAATGAACTCGATTTGTTTTCTTGCAGTATAAAAAAGAGATACTACGCAGGGGTCAATTTGGCTGACATACGTGTCCCCTGAGAAAGAAACAAATGCGCATTATAATATACAAATGATTTGTTGTTTGAATATAAAATGACGTAACGAAACAACTCGAATCTCACCTTAAACCAGGTATGGCTTGGATCAGAGGGCAATAGATCTCTTTCAGTCATCATGTAAACCATTTCTGACTAACATACAACCTTTGGTAAATCCAATCACTTTATACAGAAGACATGTTAATTACACATTGTCCACTGGAAACAATCACTCAGCGAATGTCAATAATCACTGTCCAAAGCCGCCAGATTTGCATGCGGTCCTTGAATAAAAAGCCTTTGCCAACCTCGAGAAACAATGAGTACAGGTGTCTTGAGAATTACCATGATCTCCGTGCCGAATGAACAAATTTAGCCAATCGTGAAATAGAACTGTCGGTATCTCCATGACGTCATCGGTTGGGTAGGAATCGAAGTGACAACGATAAATCAAAACTAATTGGCATGGGCAGGATAAAACAAGTACATTCTTAGAATTTACTTATTTGGAATGGGAGGGTGAATCCCACGCAGGTTTCTTCATGGAATTTCAGAAACCAGCCGTTCCTTGGCCCGCTCCTCCCGGATTGTTTATGTTGATACTGTTACGTTGATAGATAACGAGATGTGTGTGTATGTGGCGTGTGAACCCCGGCTGGATAAACGTTGTTAATATCACAACCACGGGGAAAGCATATCTATCAAGGGAAAGGATCATCCCGCCAGAGTAACATATTGATTCCCTT